TGCACCACCATCTTGTACCAAAGTATGAAGAGGGCATCCAGTTCATCCTGAGCCATGTTTTGCTTCCTGACAGTCATCCTCAGTTCCTCTCACTTTGCCAACTCCACACAAACATACTGTCTTAGATCTTTACAAAAATCCTATTTAATAGCCTTTATTTAAATTTCTGTGGACGTTACATACTGGCAGCCATAGTGATTGTGTCATGTAATGATAGGACATGCTTGGTTATGTTAGACGTTTGGCAGTAAAATACCAATCTTGGCCACAATTGCAGAACATATGGGGGGTGGAGAACAAGGTTAAACACTAAGCATATGTTTTTGTGTAGCCATGGTTTATGTGTAGAGCTACAATGAAAAGGGTATGAAATGCACATTGGACGTACCAGCTGTACATTTGTGCTGAAAAACTTTCCAGACCAGAGTGGACTTGATGGAATGTTTAAAACAACTTCTGTAGTTTGTCTACCTGTAAAAGATGGCAAGGGAGCTTAATCTACCGACACAGTCCACCCTTCACTACTGCCTGCTAACTTCTCCCAGATGTGTACGCTGATGCACTGTGGGTAACAGGAGTTAAAACCTGAAGGGGTGTGTAGGAGCCTGAATAGAGAGCTCTGCTGAGTGTGCACTGGTGCAGGAGGGGCTTGCTTCTTTAATCTCTATCAGGGCTGCACAGAGCAGCCAAAAGCCATTGCTTTTTTCATCCAGGGAAATTTTGCATTGGTTTAAAGCAAACACAGACATATTCACCCAGGAGGCTCTGTCTGAAAGGACATTACCATGATCCTGGACTGCAGGGAACCCTTGAAGATCTCTGTCTTCTTTCTATATGTATATAATCGGATAAGATATGCAGGTCACAACTTTGTGCTAGAGTTCTCTTCTTTTTTTTTTCTGGTTCCCAGAGCATGTATTTTGAGGACATTATAGAAATAGATATTTTGTTTGTCAGGGTGCTTTTGGTCAGGTTTTTGTCATGCAGAATGTGTCAGTCAATGCTAATTCACATCACTTTGTTTACTCAAACATAGAGGTCAGAGCTCGCGTTTCCAGATGACTTTCACAAAGAGCATTCTTTACCAGCACACTAGTGACAGTGAGCACAAATTATCCACCCCAAGCAAGAATTTTGGGCAGAGTATTGTGGAAATAAGAACTGGAATTGAATTGGCATTTTCTCCAGAACACACAGTAGGAAATGCAAGAGAAAATGGGAAAATAAACTGTGTTGGGAGGGAGGCATAATGATTGGCCATAAAACTCTTTTGAATCCTGCTTTTTATGAGCCTTTGTAAAAATCCAACAAAACTTGAAAAGGGACCCATTCAGTGTGAAAGTTAACGAGAGGTGGGAAGACATGAACAAAGGCCTGAGACCTCGCCCACTCCTCTTTCTCACACCCACTTGTGGGTGACTGAGGGAGACCGTATCGCTACGGTCAAGTGATGAATTATGCTTCAGACATGTTGTGGGTCATCTCAGTTAAGTTGTGAAGAAACTTCTGCATTCCTGGATGAGGCACTGTGCAGTGGAATGTAGTTTTTATTCCTACCAGGCTCACCCACCACAATTCTAGTGACCCCGACCTTGGGGCTGGGCCCCTACCCATGGAGTTCAGTCAGGTGACTGCAGATCCAGGCACATCATTAAAGCATTAGTTGAACTATCTATTTCTGATTGACAACATATGAGAAGTAAGAACTCTAGAAGTAGAGTTAACCATTTGCAGGCCTTTTTTATGTAGTTTTTTGGATGTTTTTTTATAAAAGAGATGTGGCTATTCTGTTGTTATGTCTCTGGTGTTTTAGTCATACAGGTTACTTACACAAATCTGTTATTATATTATTAAACTAGAATTATTGTAATTGTGTACACTATTGGGGTTTAATGTTTAAAAAATGTAACATTATACAAATATTATATAGAATCATTATACAAATATTATGAAAGTTATAAATTGACTGTTTAAACTATAAGGCCATCAAGATGTTTTCCATCAGACATTTGTTTTGTAGGTTTAGTGGCTGAAATGTAAAGTGTGCACGCGTGTAGGGATTTTGCAACTACAGGACGGATAATGTTTTTAAAAAAAGAGAAGGAAAACACACATATTTTCTCTCAAGTTAGTTTGTAGACATGCCCATAATCCCCAATTGCAAGGATGCAATCATTCAGGCATGTTGTTTCTCACCATTGACTCGCTTTCTTGCTCTTTTATCAACATTGGCCATTAATGGAAACTTGTTTGGCAATATTGTTGTCTTTCTTGACTTAATTGAGTTTGTTTTCTGTCTGGTGGGCACTATGCCATTCACTTTCTCCTAGAAATCTATGAAAACAGCCAGCTGTCCTTTTCTCACTGAACTTGATTTCCCATCATGCATCAATGCAGAGGGGATTACTCTGTCAGAAGTAGTTTAGGCTTGGTGACTTAGTAGCATGCCCTGACTCTCAGTCCCATTGGAGGTTAAAGAATCTGAGCTGGGTCTATGCCGAAACCAGCTCAAATGGTCACCCGGAGCCAGAATGGAAAATTCAGTGGAGTCTAGTTGCTGCCTGGCAAACTAAAACATGTCTATTTCTTAAGCTTTAAGTCTCGGGCTCTAGACTGCAGTGTCTTTCTTGCTTTTGGTCTTTGCTTACTCATTCACAAATTAAGTCCTTCACTTGTCCCCCCAAGTTCCCAAATGTCAGATAAGTTAAATGTTAATAGTTCTTTTCAGAAGAAGACATTTGAGGGTGGACATTTGGAGTGAGCAGTACCCTTCCTAATAAAGGCCAGAAGCTGCAACACTTCAATGTGTTTTCTATCAAGAGACTTGCAGTTGTGGCTGAAATTCCAGGACATAATAAAAGTATGTCTGGACTCAATCAAAATAACCATGCCGCCAAAGAGCTAAACTATGAACAACTGTGGCTGGGTGCTTTGATGAAAATTCAGAAGCTTTGTCAAAGCATTTTTAAAAATTGATTAGAGAGTAATTGAGCTGAAGGTGGGCATTTTGTTGCCTGTCTTCGCTTGTGATTTCATGCTGGGAAGTCTGTTAAATTTGCCCTGGAAACTATATCTTATATTCACAGTCCACAGTCTCAATGTGGTTGGTAGCTGTATGATTCAACAATGAAAGAAGGTGTATGTGTGGTGTGCTTCAGTATGATTTTGAAGGCTTTGTGATCTCACTTGATCCCTTAATCTATGCATTTCAGAAACATGGAGTTCTTATGGCTCTTATCGCATATCTATCAGAATACAGTTACATTAATCTCTGCTGCATACCTACATCAGATACCTTTTTCTCAATGGTTGAAGTTGTAGCCTCATGCTTTGTTAGTGTGACAGAAAAGAATGTAATGTCATAATCCTTGGAGCATCTGAGGGGTATAAACCATATAGCAGGTCTGATTAGATCTGCATGCATGTCCTCATTCACAACTTAAAGTTGAAGCTTTACTTGTAGTTTAACAGACTAAACTGATCTCTCTTTACAGTGTTGCCGTATATTTTCCATACTTTCTGGCTTAATTTAATCGTCTGTGTCTGCCCATTTGAGTCATCTTACCATCATATTATTACTATATTCAGGGGTGCATACTGCATATGTTTTTTTGGTAAGGTTCTCAAAAGAGTACCTGGAGATGTTGCTTGGTCCTCAAAAATCTCACATTTCATTATGCAGGACCATGTGATCAGCTGATGGTTTCACATTTGGCTCAATTGTCTAGCCTGCACCAGAGTTTAAATGACCATGCTGTCAGATAAGAGGGTAAAGTTGTGGTCACACTGCACTTTTTGCCCCAAAGACTTCCATTCATATGAATGCGACTGACTAAAAACTCAAGTTTTGCAGAAGTTGGTGAACTCTGACCTGCAAAATCGCATCACATGATTGCATGAGACCAATCAAAGATCAAAACATGCTCTCTACAGAAATTTAAAATATGGACCAATCAATTTTTTTGTCTAACCATCTTATTTAATCCCACCCCTTTTTACAGCGCCATAGAACAGAATTTTACGTGCTCAAACTCTAGAGTGACTACAGCATCAGTTATGAAAAATTAAACACGTAATCACTTTTTTTGATCAACTCACACATTTAATATTTGCTTGCTTCTGTTATTTGGTGCAATTATGAAAAACTGTACACCAGAACATCCCTTTTGGGTGAACTAAGTGAAGATTTACAAAATAATTAATGATAAAAACCATGTGATATGATTGATTGCGGCTGGACTTGCGTTCTTAATCATTAAGAATTCAATCATATTGATTCAAGCTTACAATAAATAGACCAATTTTACCGTACCTTATCTTTCTTTTGAAAGAATCCCCCCTTCTACATCATCTCCTCCTTTTCCTCCCGCTACCAGGGGAAGTTCTTGAGATCTACCTGATCTCGGACCCTCTTATGTACTTATTGACCAGGTAGGAGCCCTGGGCTCAATTATCTTCAAGCTTAGGGTTCTATTCCGGGACAGCATTCCAAACCTTCTAATAGTGTCAAGCAATATCTTGAAGATGTAGTTTGTGAATTGCAGGTGTGACAACATCTCTGTCTGTGCACAGAGACCAACTGCCAGAAACATGGCTAAGTTGTACGAGCCTATATACTGTACAATGTTCAGTGCTATTTGAATCTTATACAAATTAGTTAAATCTGAGGTATTGTGATCTAAATCTAAAGCTTACCCCCTTTAACCTACTTGGAAAAAAAAATATTTAATGAAAGCAAGTGCATTTTTACAAAGCCACACACAATTAAACATGCTTGTATGAATTATCTTACCTTTGATGCATGGGGAAATTCTTGATTGTGAAGTAACTTTGGTAACAATATTCCAAAATGCCAACAGCACTGGTACATAAATGCTCTTAAATTCTGTATTACCTGCATTCTAGTTATGTGCAACCTTGACTATATCAATAATTTATACATTTAATCCACTTTGTATTATCACAGGTATTAACCATTGTGATTTTTTTATATTTTGCAGAAGAGGTTGACTACAGCAACTTTGGCACCAGCACTCTGACCCGTAAAAAAAAGGCAGTGGTCACTCTTCGCAATGACCTGAACAGAAAACGGCCCCACATTCGCATTGGCATGCCTCAAGACTTTCGTCCTGTGTCGTCCATTATTGACGTGGACATCCTTCCTGAATCTCATCGAAGAGTACGTCTCTACCGGTATGGCTCGGACAAGCCCCTGGGATTTTATATCCGTGATGGCACCAGTGTCCGTGTTACACCCCATGGCTTGGAAAAAGTCCCGGGTATCTTCATTTCCCGTATGGTACCTGGAGGCCTGGCTGAAAGCACAGGCTTGCTGGCAGTCAATGATGAAGTTCTGGAGGTCAATGGCATCGAGGTGACAGGAAAGACCTTGGACCAGGTGACTGACATGATGATCGCAAACAGCCACAACCTTATTGTGACCGTGAAACCAGTAAACCAGCGCAACAATGTGGTTCGCAGCAGTCGCATATCAGGTAGCTCGGGTCAGTCATCGGATAGCAGCGGTTCAGTAGGGTACCCCGCCATCACCGTTCCCACAGGTGCCACTGCCATCTCTCATGGCTATAGTCCAGAAGATCTGGAAAGTGACGAAGAGTCAGACATCGTAATCGAGAGCAACATCAAACGACCATCACGGCGGTCCAACGCCTCAGTGGCTTCAAATGCATCCCGGTCCCAGACACAAACGACCACTGTGACCCCACCTAGCCCTCCTACTCGACCTCAAACGAGACCGCCATCCACTGTGTCTACAGCCTCTTTTCATTCTCAACCAAGCTTTAATGGCACCGTACACAATAGTTTGAGTTACAAGTTGCATAAGGACCTAACCCTTCAACACCACCCCTACCACAGCAGCAATCCTGCTATGAGGGAGAGCAATGGCAGCCTACACAAAATCCTCAGCAGCCTGAGGACTGACCCCCGTCATAGCCTGGCTTTACCCAGAGGTGGGGTAGAGGAGGATGGCACAGTCATCACTTTATAATACATGCAGACAACATCTAGCCCTCCCAGAGACTCAGTCTTTCAGCCTGGGAAATCACACTCGACTTTGAACCTCACCAAACTTAAAGGGTTTTGTAAAATTAATAATTTAACAGAACAGTATCTGGAATTTTACCTTTTTTTTTTTTTAAGTATTTGCTTTCCATGTGTTTCCATGTAATGTCTTATCTGTCAAAAATGCCTGTCAGTTTATTTCTAAGCAAAACCACTTTTTTTATCTTGTCTATCAGTGTTTCTTAAGTTCATGTTTTGAGTTTAATTTTAATCATGTTGTCTAAATATCTCCTGGGACCAGAAATTAGGTTTAGACCTGTGTGTGTGTGTACACGTCTTCTGTTTAGGGTTTGGACACCAATATGCAAATGCCAAAATGAATTTACACTTAATCAGCAACACAAACATTTTGTTTGAGCTGTCTGATTTGTATAATTATTAACGGATCTTAATTTTCTGTAAAGAATGTCTACTGTATGTGTTCAGTACTTTTATTTGTAGTAAATTACCATTTGGCCGATTTTCTTTTCATTCTTTGTTTCAGAATATTTTCAATATTACTTGTTCCCGCATCACAAAACTGCATGTATTGGAATTATAGAATCTTTTAGACAACCTTCTCAGTTAAGACATTTAAATTAAAACATTTGCATAAAACATTAGTCTACATTGACATTGGTGATGTAGAATTTGATTTGACAAGATTTCTTGTTTATTTGACTGCAGTTGAATGACAGGGCTCATCACATATAGGTATTTCACACTTGTATGCCTTTTTGAAGACCTTCTGACTTCAGGAGTCCAATGGAATGCGAGTTCATTGGTTCTCTTTGGTATTCAGTCCATACACACATTTTATGTCACCTCACTGTTAATGAATCCTCACCTTTGTTCAAGCCTCTGCAGTCTCAGAAGTTAGATTTTAACTTTACTATTAATTCCGAAGCTGAGAATACTTAATCCTGGTATTAAATTAGCAGTCTTATGTGATCCTGTTTTAAATTGGGAACAATATGTTGTAAAATGCACCAGTTTATACTCAGTAATTTGTACATTTGTGGTATATTTTTTGTATATACTTTAAAACCACTGTGGATGTTCTTTCTTTTTGGCTTTTAGGTTGACTGTAATGTTGTTTTTCTTGAACAAAGACTTACCTTCATATCCACCATTTTTGTGCCTTACTGCCCCTCCTACAGACATGGTTCACTCACACAGACGAAGTATTTGGATCTGACCACTGGAAATATTTTGGTAAAAGCAAGGCATGGTGTACCACGTGCTTTTGGTGTGTTGAAATACGTTTGTTGTGAGCCTCCATCTGCTGGTCACTGCCAGAACTGCGTCTTTTTTGCCAAGAATAATGTTCTTCGTTTTGCATTAATTTCACCGTAGTCTATCAGTGTTGATGTCTTGGTTCATCTGTATTTGTATCTATTAACATTGAATGAACTTCTTACATTCAAAGCTGATTACTTAAGAAATGGGTACGACAGATTATGTCTTCAGTCAGTCATGTTTGGACCGCTTCAGTGTCATATTTATGGTGTGATGTAACAAAGTTTAGTGTCTAAATGAGAGTTGATAGCACAGTATATATGTCAGGCAGTCCAACCACACTTAAAATGGTAGTTTAAAGCATTTTTGATACAAAAATACATGTGAATATTGTTTATATGGTTTTTACAGATGTCAGTTTTTTTTAAAAAGTATAATAAAATTCTGAGATGGATTAAAAGCATCCTTGTGTGTTCTTTGCATTCTTAGTTTGGCTAGTTAGTTTTGTCTATCTATCTATCTATCTATCTATCTATCTATCTATCTATCTATCTATCTATCTATCTATCTATCTATCTATCTATCTATCTATCTATCTATCTATCTATCTATCTGTGTTCTTTGTATTCTTCGTTTGGCTAGTTAGTTTTGCCTGTCTGTCTGTCTGTCTGTCTGTCTGTCTGTCTTGTACTTTTCTTTTAATAATGTAATGAATACCGGTTCATTTATTTATGAGATGACTTAAATTCTGTTAACTTATTTCATTTATGATGTAACGTTATTATGTTAACTTTTTTGTAATATCATGTTTAGTTTGTTGTAAAGGCTTTTAAAGATTTTAATGTTTAAGTGCAGGTAATTTAACAACGTGCCAGCATGGATGCAAAATAAAAATTATGTAGAATGGAGACATAAAAAAAGATGAGCGACACAATTGATTAAAGATCATAAACTTTAATTCATTGGCTCTCACTAGATCCATTGTCTTCAGGAGACCCTCACCTACCCTCTGTATCTTCAGGTGACCCTCACCATCCCTCTGAACCTTCATGTGACCCTCACCATCCCTCAGCGTTTTTAGGTGGCCCTCACCAACTCTCTGTGTTCTCAGGTGACCCTCGTTGGCTTGGGTTGTCCATCACCGGCTCCAGAGGGCTCTTCACTCTCTTTTGGTACTTTATGGAAAAGGAATAAATAAGACACAAAGAAAACAGAGAACACCTGTTTAGACAGCAGATTTGAAGCCTGTTTATCTTTATTCATATCTTCTTGATTCAAAATTAAACTTGCATTTTTAAGCTTCATAATCAACAAGTCTTTATATTTTTTTTCACCAGCAGACATAAAAATACTTTTTAAATCTTGCACTTTGTACCTGTCAGTGCATGAGCTGAACCTTCTCCAAATATGCGTTATTTACAATCTTTATTTCAGTCGCCCAAGTCGTCCAACCTTTGGTGGCTTTGATCTTTAAGAAACAGACAGACAGATGAATATAATAACTAGCACTCCACAAAACATCATAACCCTGTTTGTGAATATTTGTGGGTGTGTGTGATCTGAACAGCATCAGTCTGCTGTGTGTGTTTGTGTCCAGTACCTGGTCTCAATGAGAGGCAGCAGCTGGACACACTCTTCAATGGTGATGTCTTCTCTCTCCTCAAACACACTGTCTGCCTCCTCATATACACAAACACATTTCTGAATCTCTCACTCATGAACCAAACCAAAAAATAATTAACATTATTTCATCAGATTACAAACATTCTGATTGAATTGCAAACCCATCACACACTGATGTTATTATTAGACATAGTCATGAGGATAAACTCACTGTTATGTTGCTGACAGATGCATGAGGGTACATGTTTGGGAGTAGATGTTTGAGGTTGTCCAGAAGATACTCTGTGAAACTGATGCACTTCTCCTGTTCCTCAAGTTTTGCTGGGCCTTGAGAAACACTATGCACACAGAAAACAAAAACATGTCACATTAATAAATGCACCAGACATCCTTCTTTATGTTATGCTCCATCAAACTGATCTCTGACTCTTCTCAGATCCTACAAATGGTGGATGTAAAACCCTTCAGTACTGAAGTTATCTCTCGGAAGTACACACAACATCAGTTGAATACAGATGTACACTTACTGAAAAATGATTGGTCCAAACACTATGGACAGGTTTGTGGTGGTCATGCGGTTGACAACTCTCACCAGCCACTCGTGACAGGAAGTAAGCTAAATAGGACAGGATGTTAAAGTGTTCCTCTGGAAGGGTGTCCATGATTTTTCTCACTGCCTGGTGAAGTTTTCTCAGTTTGAAAACTACAAGATAAAGATCTCAGGATTTTGATAGATCTATTTGGATGTGGAGCAAGTAGACTAAATGTTCACTCATCAGCATCTCAACTTACTCATGAACACCTCCAGCAGTTCAATCATGTGTGGCTCAGGAATAAGGCCACCGGGAAGAACACTGAGGAAAAGTTTCAGTGCAGAGGCTGAGGAATGAACATCCTCCGTGTTCAACTTTGGAAATCCTCCTTTATCAAAACATTTCCTCAGTTCATGGTGGCGCAGTTGTGTCCCACCAACCCTAAACAGGCCGCTTGTATTGAGGCCTAAACACAAACATGTATTTTACAGTCTCAGCATAAGTGACAAACACATGGAAACACTGTGAAACACAGCATTCACCATGCTTCTCCAGGAAGCCCACTAAGTGTGTAAGTGCTAGAGGAAGCCCCTGCCTCATCTGACCGTTCTTCCTCAGATTGGACAAGGGCACACCAACCACCTTGCTTTGTGCTTGGTCCTGCACAAGAAAGAGGTTTAGGAAGAAAATAACATTTGTACAGAGCAGTGCATGATAAAGTGAGTATAAAGTTTATAGGATAACTGAGTGGATTAGGAAATATTACATTTATTATATTTCTCCAAGACCAACTTACAGGAATAATAAAACAATAATGACAACAAGTAGTGATGAGTTTATGGAGTCTTAATTAAATGTTATCAAGTTAACAGTAAGCATTTGTGTATCATTATTAATGTTTAATGTGTAAACATCGCATACTCACACACACTGATAAAACTCCCATTTTAAAATGGGCTTTTATATTCATGATAACCAATCCGAGGGGTGTCCAAAGCCGTGAGTCAAATCCGGAAAAGGGTCGTTAACGGGAATCCAAAACCGAGTCAGAGCCAATCGTCAAAATCAGATAAAACACAAATCCAAAGCCGTAGTCCAAGTCCGAAAAAAGTGTCGATAACCGATAAAAAATAACCGTAATCAATCGAAAAATCGCCAACTGCACAAACCACTCACTACTACAAACGCCTGAACACCCAACAAAGAATTTCAATAATGTGCATTTAAACCTGCCGTAACTCCTATCGTTCTATATAATAGATTCTAATTCACGTCACTAGATTAAAAAACTACAACTGCATCATAATTGTTACATTTTATGAGGAAAGCCAAACAACAAGTTTTAATAGGCAACAAAACGATTCAATACACTTAAGTTTCAGAACTGAAAATGGGCAAAATTCCAAACAACAAGAACAGATTTTATATAACAAATTTATTCACAAACAAGAACAACATTACATACAATTCAAACAGGAAAATGATCAAAATATAAAAGAAACTAAACAGAAATAATAAATTATAAACTAAATATTTTCGTTTTTCCCTAGTTGTATATATATATATATATATATATTTATTTATATATATTAGGGATGGGAAGATTAACCGATATGTATCGATACGCGGTCATGCGCGTGCACGATGCGAGTGCATCGGTTGAGCAGCAGAGGATGAATGAAATTTTGGAAGCAAATCAAGATGCAAGATGCATATTTTTAATATAGAATGTATTTTTTATTTATTAACAAGAGTTGTCAACCTGTTTTTGGCGCATAATTTAATTGACCTACATAAAGTAAGCCTTAGCAACGGATTTGCGGATGTGTACACTCACACTACAACTCAGTGTATCAGGTGTGCGGATGAAGCTAGTGGTGCGCCCTCAGAAAGCGCGAGAAGCAAAACAAACATTTTATTCCCCACTGAGTTTTAAATCTAAAGTATGGCAAGCAACATTATGGATTTAAGGATGGACGACATGACAGGACAGATGCAATTTGCAAAATGTGCCGCGCATCTGTAAAATACGCGGGCAGTACGACTAATCTGATATCTCACTTGAAGCGGCACCACGGTGTTGTTGTGAAAGCATCTTCCAGTGTTCCTGCATCCCCGGCTTTCGCACTGCTTCCACCAGCTCCAAAAGTGGTGAGAAAAGCATTGCAAGTTTTTTTTTTCCGTGCGCAACAGTTCTGCTCGCTCTACGCCAATAACGAATGCTATTGCACTGTTCATCTGCAAAGATATTCAGCCTAGTGTCATGGAGAACGAAGGTTTTAAACACCTCCTCCTGTTAATTTTTATTTAATTATAATAATAATAATAATATTAATAATAATAATGATAAAAAAATGGGTGTCACGGTGGCACAATGGGTAGTTTGACCACCTCACAGCAAGAAGATTGCTGGTTTGTTATATTTTTATTAGCCTGTTGTTTACAGTGACAGTGATGTTTCAACGCAGCATAACACTGCTAGTTCACAACCTTAAGTTTTGAATAATCAGTGGCAAAATATCTTTGTAAAACTTGTTTTCATAGTTGAAAAGTTAAATCACAATTCTTGTTGTGCAATGGTAAACCTTTATGTTGAAAGAGTGCAAATATATATATATATATATATATATATATATATATATATATATATATATATATATATATATATATATATATATATATATATATATATATATATATATATATATATATATTTAATATATATTGCACTTATACATTCTGTTTATCTTGAAAATACTAAAATAATATGTGCTATAGGTTCTAAAATGGCCCTCTACTGTAAACTGACACACTGGCTCTGAGAGAAGAGCCAGTTTGTAAAAAAAGTCTTGGTTTTGCTTGGTTTATAAATAATCAAACTCATTCAATGGCACAGCATCCTCTTTCACATAATCTCATAAACTTGATCTAATTAGTTAGTGCTGAAATATCGCATCGTATCGTGATATGGGTGTGAATCGTATCGTGTTGCATCGCAATATGTCACAAATGTATCGCTAATATATCGGATCGTATTCTTTGTATCGAGATGCATATTGGATCGGCATTATAGCTTAGATGCCCAACCCTAATATATATATATATATATATATATATATATATATATATATATATATATATATATATATATATATATATATATATATATATATATATATATATATATATATATATATATATATATATAATTTATTTAAATATATAATTGTAATGAAAGTAATAACACCATGTTACCCGTTGATATGCTTTTAGCATATTTTAATATTTTGAAATAATTGTAATTTTGTTTTATAGATCAAATTTAAATGTGTGCAATACAAATGTTTTCTAATTATACTTAAACTTTATTTTAAATATATGTAATATATTTATATATTTCAGACATAGTTTAAACAGCACACTTAAAATATACATCATTAAATAGTTTAAAGCTGTAGGTTCATATTTGTTACATTTTTATTGTTAGCTAACGTAACTTCAATATTTTCAGAACGTGTAAACATTTTGTTTATGTGTTTGTCGGCGATTAATTCCGCTGTGGTAATTGATATTTGACAGATCGTAATCATAGACACTGAACAGAATCAATAATTGCAATACCTTTAGTACAGGACATTCTTATTAAAAGTTACTAATACCTAAAGTGAATAAATCTGATTCTGTGGGTGTCTGTTTGTTTGTTGTCTTGACATAAAATCGTTTACATTAAAAAGAAATCAGAAGTGTTTAAGTTTGAGAAGTTATTTGACCCTTAATATCACATGACCAACATGTGGCCGACCCGTTCTGTGATTGGTCGTTAAACTCACGCGTGCGCACAAGCAGCATTTCATTTACTTCCACATAAACAAGAGCAGTGTTGTGGGAATTGAAACATGGAGCATCGCTTTGACAGGGCGGCGGCGGTGCTTTCACCGCTCGAAGAGTCCAGCGCAGAGGTCAGCAGAGACAGCGGCATCGTGTCCCAGAGCGCCAGCAGCCTGTCTATGGTGAGCGAAGCCCTGAGCAGCGGCACCGTGTCCCAGAGCCCGAGCTTTGGCGCTGCGGTGGCCCAGAGTCCGAGCTCCGCAGCCGGAGAAAGCCAGGAGCAGAGCGAGCCCGAGCAGACACAAGACGACGAGCTGCTCAGACACACGGCACTCACATACTCCTCTTACATCAGAGCCAATGCTGAAGAAGAGGTAAGAGGCCAGATATGTCACTTACAAGTTACGTTAGCGCTAGTTGGGATGTCTGTTTGTCATGTAGCAATCCCCAGGCACCAATACACAATAATAGTAGGACAGGAAATGTCCTTAAAATTCTAAACACATCTATTAGGTAAATGTGGAATGTAATGCTTTACAATGATAATGAACAACCAAACGTGTTGTTCTTTAGTGTTAAATAAAATGAAGCATACAATAGTAATAATGAATCAGCAAAATCTTGTTCTTTATCTAAATATACACAATAGAGAATGTCATTTCGTTATATACCCAAAAATGAAAATTCTGCCATCTTTCACTCACTTGTTTGACACTGTTTGACTTTCTTTCTTCTGTTGAACACAAATGAAGATAATTTTAAAATGCTGGTTGCTGGAACCCTTTGACCATTATAGTTTTTTCTGCTATGAAAGTTATTATAAGCAAAATTGTATCAGCAACCAGTAATCCTCAAAATAGCTTATTTTGTGTTCAGCAGGAGAAAAGAAACTCACAAAGGTTTAAAATAACACAGGAAAAGTAAATGATAGGGTAACTTTCATCAACAAACATTTTAATAAAAAAATGTAACATTTGATATATTATTTCCATATATTTGTTATCAGTGTAGCGGGTAACACATTACAAGTAACGCGACTTGCGTAATATTACTATTCTTACGCAGTTACTGTTTTTAAAATGTACTGTGAGTTACTTTAAAGTTTAAGTAATTAGTTAAAAAAATATGTGTAGGTTATACAGTGTTTTGGTAATTGCAGAGCTCCTCTAAAATAACAAAAATAATAAAAATAAATAAATAAATAAATAAATAAAAAAAATATTAATAAATAATAAAGTTCTGAAAGAGATCAAGCCTCAGCCAGGTAATAAAAAGTAATGCAAAAGTATCTTAACACATTATGTTACGTAAAGACCATACAAAGTCATTAGGTAACGCAACTAGTTTCTTTTTTTTTTTTTGGGGGGGGGGGGGGGGGGGGGGGGTAACTCAGTGTTGCATTATCTACTAGTGATGCAATAGTAATAATGCATTACTTTTGAAAGTAACCTTTTTCAACACTGTTTGCTATAAAATTACCCAGTTGATTGTCGTCGTTACACGTCACGTTACATACAGTGTCACACATTTCCTCTGTTAGATAACAAAGGAGCTAAAATATGTTGTACTGTTAATAAAAAATGATAACAATGAGACAATAACAATGTTTAAATATACATAACTAAAATATATTGTATAATTTGAGTACTAGCACGTCTCTGAAATTATATTTAATACATATATTAAAATCAATTAGGATTCTTAAATATTGCTTAATAAGGCTGCACAATATTGGAAAAACTGACATTGTGATATTTAGTTTTTCTGTAATTTGTATTGCGATATGAATATAATTTCACGTTGATGAAGTGTTGAATAACTCTTTTTGTAAGGTAGTGCATCTGCATAAAATTATATCAAAATATACTAAATAAAATAAAGCTGAGATGAACACAATAGAACAAAGATAAAAAATGAATTAAACAGTGCTTCATGGTTTTCTGTGGAGTCTAACAGCATTAAGGTTCAGAAATGCAATAATCAAATTTAAAATAAAAAAAAATTATAAGTAAACAATAAATCTAAAGTGGAAAACTTCATTTGAAATCTTACAGTCACATGCCTAAAAAACATAAACATTTGAAAATCTTTCACACTATTAAAATTGATTAGGTCATGTTATATTAATTCCAACATGGCATTGGAGATTCTGCAATGTGACTTTTGCAGATTTGCACATTGTGATATACAGTTGAAGTCAGAATTATCAGTCCCCCTTTGATTTTTCCCCCTTTTTTAAATATTTCCCTAATGATGTTTAACAGAGCAAGGATATTTTCACAGTATGTCTGATAATTTTTTTTCTTCTGAAGAAAGTCGTATTTGTTTCATTTCAGCTAGAATAAAAGCAGTTTTACATTTTTTTTAAAAAGCCATTTATATGTCAAAATTCTTAGCCCCATTAAGCTAATTTTTATTATTTTTTCGATAGTCTACAGAAAAAAACCATCATTATACAATAACTCGCCTAATTACCCTAACCTGCCTGGTTAACCTAATTAACCTAGTTAAGCCTTTAAATGCCACTTTACGCTGTATAGAAGTGTCTTGAAAAATATTTAGTAAAATATTATTAACTGTCATCATGGCAAAGATAAAATAAATAAATAAATAAAATAAAGTTATAAGAAATGAGTTATAAAAACTATTATGTTTAGAAATGTGTGTAAAAAATCTTCAACTGTAAGAGTTCAACTGTAGCTGTTAAATCAATATATTGTGCAGCCCCAATTCTTAAGTATGAATGCATAATGGACCAAAGATATGTAAAGTAACCTATAACAAAAATTTTTTCAAAAGATGTGACCATATATACCATTTTTTAAAATTTATTTATTTATTTATTTTTGTAAATAAACAGTGTTGTATAATGCAGTTCAAAACAGTAGGGGAGAGTGTTGGACAAAGTAACGTTTTTCATTAAAACCTAATTTTAAAAGATAAGGTTTTTAGCAGAAATATATTTTTGCTGTTACTACAAACTCACAAGAGTCAGCTATCAAAATCAGATGTTGTTTTGTATCAATGAGAACTACTCCAATATACCTTCACTTTAAACAAAAGTTGCACATTTTTACTTTTGACTTTATCGGCATGGAAAAGTAAGTAACAGGAATGGGTGAAAAGTAAAAGCAATATTTAGATTTACTGGCTTAATCTTATTTCTTTTAAATATATCCGACTAAGACCTTGTTAATGTTAACTGCAAACATATTTTGTCCTTTATTTTTGTAAAAACAAATTTAAACAGCATTTTCTTTTTCATTTTCAGCTTCATCAAATGTTTCCATTTCCAACAATGCAAAATGTTAATATTTTATTCAATTTTTTAAAATATTTTTTTGCAAAAATAACTTGGTTAAAACTCTAATATGGTAGTGAAAAATAAGGGTTGTCTGTTAGCAGTGGGACATAAATAACAGTGTTACTTTTGTCCCCACAGGAACTCTTGCCATTTAAATCTGATTTCCTTTCAAACTAAAAACCTCAAGATATTTCAAACTTAAGGATATGTTATTGCACTATACAGTAAGAGTAAAAAGTATTTGATCCTTTGCTGCTTTTGTTGGTTTGCCCACTAATAAAGACCTGATCATTCTGTACTTTTAATGGTAGATGTATTCTAACATGGAGAGACAGAGTATAAAAAAGAAAATCCAGAAAATAACTTTAAAGAATATATATTAATTGATTTGTATTTCATTGAGGGAAATAAGTATTTGATCCCCTAGTATGCATTAGGAGTTCTGGCTTTCACAGACCAGTTAGACACTCCCAATCAACTTGTTACCTGAATTGAAGACACCTGTTCTAACTAAACACCTGTGTGAAAGACACGTGTTCACAGAATCAGACAGATTCCAAACTCTCCAACATGGTTAAGACCAAAGAACTCTCTCAGGACCTCAGAGACAGGATTGTTGACCTGCACAAATCTGGAACGGGCTACAAAAACATCAGCAAGATGCTGGGTATTAAAGTAACAACCATTGGTGCAATTGTGAGAAAATTTAAGAAGTATAACCTGACCATCAATAGACCTCGGTCTGGTGCTCCACAAAAGATTTCACCTCGTGGGGTGGCAATGATCATGAGAACTGTGAGAAATCGGCCTGCAACCACACAGCAGGAGTTAGTGAATGACCTCAAGGCAGCTGGGACCACAGTCACCAGGAAAACAATTGGCAACACTTTGCGCCACAATGGATTAAAATCCTGCAGTGCCCGAAAGGTACCTAAACTCTACTCGTCATGTGTGGAGGAAGAAAAATGCTGCCTATGACTCCAGGAACACTGTACTCACCGTCAAGCATGGAGGTAAAAGCATTATGTTTTGGGGTTGTTTCTCTGCCAAGGGCACAGGGCTACTTCACCGCATCAGTGGGAAGATGGATGGAGCCATGTACTGTGCAGTCCTGGGGGACAACCTCCTCCCCTCTGCCAGGAAGTTGAAAATGGGCCGTGGTTGGGTCTTCCAACATGACAACGACCCGAAGCATACAGCAAAGGCAACAAAGGAGTGGCTCAAGAAGAACCACATTAAGGTCATGGAGTGGCCCAGCCAGTCTCCGGACCTCAATCCAATCGAAAATCTATGGAGGGAGCTGAAGGTCCGAGTTGCCAAGCGACAGCACACCAACCTTAATGATTTAGAGAGGATCTGCAAAGAAGAGTGGGCCAAAATTCCCCCTGATATGTGTGCTAACCTTGTGGTTAAGTACAACAAACGTCTGTCCGCTGTGCTTGCAAACAAAGGCTGTGCCACCAAGTATTAGGTGCTTTTGGCTAGAGGGATCAAATACTTATTTCCCTCAATGAAATACAAATCAATTAATATATATTCTTTAAAGTTATTTTCTGGATTTTCTTTTTGATATTCTGTCTCTCCATGTTAGAACACATCTACCATTAAAAGTACAGAATGATCATGTATTTATTAGTGTGCAAACCAACAAAATAAGCAAGGGATCAAATACTTTTTACTCTCACTTTATAACCTGTAGATTGATCATTAGTGTGACACAAGATAAACACAACTTGTAATAAGGAAAATAGAACCACTACACTAATTTACTTTTTGCACTTAACTGAAATTGGTACCTAACCGCAAGACACGGTCCTGAAATCACGATATTTGGCAGCTTCATCAAGAGTTGTATGCTAAATGTGCTGTTATATCCTGGAAAGCAAATTTTGTCAGGGCTTCGAGAAAATCGCTTTATTTCTTTCATCCCATGTTACTTTTGTCCTAGCTCTCCCCTATCAAATGTGTCTCATTACAGCAGGTCTTTATTTATGTGTGTGTGATGGTAAAATAGCAGGTGCTATTTTGATTCCACACACTTTACAAGTTCTTCACAAGTTTTCAACTGTTAAACATACTCTCTTGTATATGAACATACAATGAGTGTCTTCAGCCCAGCACAGACTATCCCTTTGAATATTTTGTAAGTTCTGACATAAAGTATATATCATGAAATCACATTTGTATCTGAACTCTATAAGGAAATTTAAACTAAATGTATAAATTTTCCTTTTTGGTCATGACCAAACAAACCCAAAGAACTGACATCTAAAAAATTTTTAAGTGGTACAAACCTGCAACACTTGTTGATCATCAACAGAACATTATAGTTATTTTTCTGAACATCAAAAAGCCTTTTCCAACTAATTGTAACATTTTTATTAAGCAAGTCATGATTCATCAGTAACTAAAATATTTTTCTCATTTATAAAAACAACTTTGGTATAAACCAAATTGATAAAGGTCAAGACCTAATTGATTGTGTCTACTGTGTAGTGGGTCTTTGTATGTTGAAACATATTAGATTTAACCCATTTTGTTTTAGATTGAAGTGCACATCTGTTGTTTCAATTCAACTAACATCATGTGATTTTTAGCATCCTCTGCCCTATTGAAGAACATGACACTTGGTCTGGAACAGAAAGTTCACTTTAACTAGGCTAGATAAAATTACAAAACTATTTCTGGATGAAAAACAATATGGAGCAATTCAAAACCACTGTTACTTTGCTTGGGAGTGGTTGCCCAACAAATCTCATTTCAATAGCAGGTAATTTCAGAAAGGACTTTGGGGGGAAAATTAAAACTGCACACCAGTTTATGAGTACGCCATCATCAAAAGGTAAATTAATATGGATACATCGGGTTTTATTTTAACGATCTAGGTGCAAAGTCTAAAGCAAATGGCGCAAATGCATTATGGGCGTGTCCGAATTCACAGGGTTGTGCTTATTCTCTTAATGATTTATGGGTGTGTTTTGAGCATAACGTGCATAACGTGAATGCTTCACTAGCAAAAAACAGTAAAACAGACCATCTGCAGGCCGAGAATAAAGAACGAGCCTCCTCCATTTGGCTTCTTTACTTTCTCCTTACTTTTACTTTTTAATCCTATTCACCTTATTCTTCGTGGACGAGCGGGCGCAGCCATTTGAATCTTTTTGGCACAAGACTTCTGGTCTCATTCACTTCCATTCATTTTTAGACATTAAAAACTGCTTGTTTCGCTGTTTGATATTGCAAACTGATATTTCCTTGTTATATTATTCTACTTGGTCTGTATAGTCATGCAAACATTTGTTTGTAGAGCAAGTAGTTTGACCGTTTTTTGCCGTTTATTATTCCTAGTCATTTCTCCCATAGGTGACTGAAACAGAAGTTCCAAGACAATCGCGAAAACAGGCGCACTTCCGCATTTTAGAATAAGGTCAATAGTTTTGTGGATAAGGAAACGGTGTTGTACGCACTTCACTGAAAACATCCATTAGCTTACATATTTAATTCCATTTGTTAAGCGCAAAGATTTGTTTTAAAACGATTTCTAAATTCAGTTCTAATTTCCAGCAAGTAATTAATTGACCCTTCGCTAAGCCCCACCCTCCTTAGTTACTGTTGCAACGCCTGTCAATCTTTCGTGCCTAGCACGTCTTTAACAATGTGTATACGCTGGTGCCAGACATTGCCAGGGATATAATTAGTCATTTTTGGCAAACAGGTGAGATATCCGAGTAATAGGCAACCAATTAGAGAATAATTCAATCAAAATTGAAGCTAGCTTAGCCTAGCCGCCTCATACGCTGACAATTCAACAGTTTAGTTCATGCACAGCAGGAGAGTTGAAATTTTAAAATAATCTAATAATAACAAATTAATCTGTGATTTCTCTATTTTTAGCCAAAAAGCCTAATAGACTAATTGTTGTGCAATGAAATATAGCGATACTAACCGACAAGGAAACGCGCTTGGACGGACAGTGCTTCTACATAATTAATTCCTAGAAAGAACAGCCAGAAAGGGGAAATTGATGGATTTTTGCCAAATATTAGCATCATTGACCTATAACAATGTACAGTAAGGCTTAAACGGAGCAGTGCTCATAAAATCAAGCGGGAAAAAAAGAAAAACACAGCCGTGAAACATAACCTGCTTTGTATTTTTGTAGGAAACACAGTTTAGATATTTTTAGGGTAAGAAGTGTGAGTTATTGCCGTCGGTTTATCACTGAATGTGTCAGCAATATCAAAACAAAACAAACTTAACTCAGCTCCTTTAGCACCCCTCACAGAAATTGATCCACGCTGGCATTTCTTCCCTTGAGTTTTGGTTTTGAAAAGGGGAAAAAAATTCCACCACCTTGTCCAAACTTTTAGGATACCGAGTGTCAGATTTGCACAGGGGTGGGTGGCCATTTTTGGTGTTTGACTTAGCAAAGAGTCAATTGAACAATAAAAACAAAGTTTTAAGAGTTATATCCAAACACACGTCCTATTCTTATGCCCTACATAGTGATGCATAGGTCTCCAAAACCTGACAGGTGGACAAATCGAAACTTGTTTTTATGAAAGCAAATATAAATATGCATATAATAAATAATACTGCTAATAATAATAACATTATACAAATGCAAATTGTCATGAATAAACTGAAAAAGGCCCCCTAGATGAAGAAGGCATAAAGGTAGTGCTTTTTTTAAAAATGTAGAAAATACAAATTTTTGTAAAATTTTACCTTTTAATTTTTATTCTTATGTAAAGATATTTGTGTATTACTGTACGTCCTGTGTATATTAAGCAATGTGTAAGTGTTTGAACCTACATAGGTGCATAACTAACACGCTCTGCGCTGGACATTACCAGCTTTTAGTTGGTCAATGATGCAGTCTATTTCAGTTCCTTAAAATAGCAATGCGTCAACGATGCGCCTTAACACACTTCTATTTTAGACCAGCACACCCATAAATCCACAAAGTGGCGCAAATGGATTTGCTTTTTAAACCATGTGGTGCAAAATGTGAAAATTAGGGTTCCGCTGGTCTGAAAATAGCAACAGATCGCGCCAAACACGTCTTGCACCTTACGCTGGGTGTATGATAGGGCCCATTGTGTCAAAATGCTCTCTGCCTACACAAGCATTTCAAAACCTTTGAAATGTGTCTCATCCACACTGAAATGCTAAGAAAGTTCTATATATATATTATCTCACTGCATTTGTCTGAGACACAGCCACACATAACAACAATTGAGAATACATTTCTGTCATCTCTTCTGTAATAAAAGTAAAGAAGATTAAGTAATAAAAAGTTGCAATCAAAATGAAGAGCTAATAACTTGCACATAGTATACATAGTGTATTGGTTGTCTGTCAGTTCAACATGCGTCACGAGATTAAACGCAGCCCATTTCTCAAATAAAAGTTTTTAGCTTTATCCACAAAAAGCTCTGTTCTCTCTGGACAAACAGGCATCTTTGTGTGGTGGGGAGGTCAAAAAAAAGGTTTCCAAATGTATATCCGCAATAGTGTAGAGACAGCAACAACCCCACGACCCCAAGAAAAACCCCAAGAAAAGTTAATGGGCTTATTATAAGATGTTTTACTTTAAGAGTTATTAATTGTTAAGCAAATGTGCTTTCATGCAAATCTTTCATGCAAAAGACCAACTGCTTAAAAAACTTTGTATAACCAAACCATGCATGAGTTTGTTGTACTCCCAAGTTGTTACTAGTTTTGTTAAGCAAGAGCAATGTTTGAAACAATCTTGTCTAATTTATCACATGATACACCCCCACGCGCTGCAGTAGACAGATTTTTAATTGTTGTTTAATTGTTGGTTAATTGTGTGTAGTTTTTCCATACCACATATATTGAAGAATGCTTAGTAACTATTTTGGTGACATCCATTAAATGGACAAGAAACTATTTTGTCTTTTACCCATCAAAGTCTCTTCCATTCATCTTTATCCTCAGTGTAGTTATCGAGCCTAATTAGTGGAGCGTGATATGGACTGAATAAAGCCTGACTTGTTCTCTGTACTGCTGACTGAATTGGGTTGAATTGTTTACACTTGACTTCTTTATGAGTTCTTTAAGGTCTTGTGTTGCTTTGCTAGTCAGAAAGGCAGTTACTGTTCGTCTCTCTAAACATTTTTGTCACATGCACACACATTTATAATATGCACAGAGTATGTCATGTGCTTTTTCTTGACTTTTATCATGTTTCTTTTTTCTTTTACGGTGCAGGTCCTGTGCTTAGAGAAAAGCCTAGAGGAAATGCTAACAAGAGTTGACGAGTTTGTTGGTATGCTTGATATGGTAAGATCAATAACTTGGAATTTAAATGTTAATCTTATAGTTTTGATTTTTAGATTTTCTTCATTTGTGTTGTTTCAACAGATCATAAAAGTATTTTATGTGTAGTCACACTCATTATGTGCAAAATTGTAAATTCACTATGCTCGAAAAAATGATTTTTGTAACCTGTTCAAACTACTAATTCAAAATGAGCTGAAACAACGCAATTCTTGACATTTTGTTTGGACAACTTAATTGTTTTTTGTTCAATCCATTTAAATTTGTAAAAACTAATATGTTAACTTAATTCCATCATGTTGTCCCAACACAAATTGATTGTGGGTAAACCAGCATTTTTTACAGTGTTTATAACCACTAACAATGTTGTTGTTCGGTTGTAAACTTTAACACTTTAACAAAGATTAACCAAATGTCGCTACAAATCAGCGTGGACAAATTGATAAAAACACTTTACTCTCTAACAATGTTTAAGAAGGCAATTTAGCATGATTATTAAATCACAGCACTGTTCTTTTATTGTGAGGAGCTCATTATAACAATGTTTTTAGAGTTTTGGAGATTCACATGAAGTGATGCTCCATACAAACTTTGAGTACAGCTTGGTGATTATTTGAAAAGTAATCGAAAATGACATTTAGAATGTTTAATCGATGAAATTTTTACAGGTCATTTTTTTCAATTACCTTTCCTACTGTGTGTGGAGTCACGTGACCCAACTCTGTTAAGGCTGATTTATACTTATTTTATTATGATTTTTACTTTATTATATTATTATTATTATGGTATTAAACTTCTGCCAAGGGCACGTGTACAGTCCAGCGCAGCCTTTTCTTACCTGCAAAAAAATGTACTTGCATGTCATAATGATGCGTAGCGCAAGCTTTGTGATTGGTTTGTTTGGTAGCGGTGACAAAGGTGGAGGGCGCAGAGAGCAGAATTTTAGAGAATGTGTGTTTTAATTTTGAGTTGTTTAGCATTGATGTTCAGTAAATAATAATAAATGTGTGTTTACTTCAATTATTTTAAAATCAAGTAATCCACCCTACATTCAAAATGTCTCATTTGTAACATGTGAGCATATTTACTGTACAAAACTTGTCAGAGAAAATAACCGTTAATTAATCATAATCGAGTTAATGTTCAATTAATCAAGATTTTGTTTTTAGGCCAAATTGCCCAGCCCTAAGTTTGAGTGGCTACATTATGAAAACGCAGCCTGCCCTTAATGTGTGAAAGTTCATAAATTTACTGAAATAATCATTTCAAAAGAGAGGAGCAACTATAAACATTATGTAAAGTTACTGTTGTTTTATGTTAATAATCATAATAATAATAATAATAATAATAATAATAATAATAATAATAATAATAATAATAATGATAATAATAACAACAATGAAAGTATTTATTATAGTTATTAATAACATTATTATTAATAATAATAATATTAGTAATAATAATAATAATAATAATAATAATAATTGTATTATTATTATTATTATTATTATTATATTATATTTTATATTATTGTTATTACTGTATTATTATGATTATTATTAGAATACTTTCCCCAAATTTTTTCCAAATATTTAATACATGATATAGAAATACAAAACAATGAAACAAAAATATGTAAAAAATATTTAATAATAAAAATAAATGGATATAATAATACCATATAAATAAACAAAACAACATTTTTAAAATGTTTTAATGGAAAATACTGACCTTTACCTGAGATATGTATTATTAAAATCAAGGTAAAGATATACATTTAATGGCAAAAAATCCAAATCAGTTTAAAGACAATTTTCAGAATAAACTTTTTCCACATATTTGACTCTTCTTGTTTAAAGTTATGTGATCAAATGCGTTGATAAATCTGCATATTTTGTAAATGCACAGAAAGTTAGACAACAACAACCTGTTTTTTTTTTCTTTTTGTAGATTCGAAATGACACCTCACAAGTGGTGAATGAAAACCTACCACAGATACAAAGAAAATCTGAAGAGATGAGGGAGATTTACCGAAAAATTGACAAATTGGAGGTACTAAATTTTAATTGGTGTCTAAACCATAATGATGTATAGCTTTTTTCTTTTGTTATTTGAAGTGTACGGTCTCATTCTCAGGCCTTCGTCAAAATGGTTGGAGCCAATGTCAGCGCAATGGAGGAACAAGTAACTCAAGTTGAAGGTGAAGTTGGAACAATACCAGGAGCCTTCAAAAAGATCTTCCGCACAATGAACGTACCAGGTTTTTTAAATGTGAGTCTGAACATACACGTGTTAAGGTGGTAGGTCCCATGCATAGAAAATATCTACATTTTTTATGTTTCAGTTAAGTTATAATAAAATGCCAAAATATAAGTAAAATAATAATTTGTCATTATTCAGTGTATTTATGTAAAATGAAATGACACACATTCTGATCTATACTTGAAATACATGTAAAGGATAACCAAAGGATTGCCGTACATTATGGATTTAAATGCATGACGAGAGGCAAAGAACCACCTGACCTGAAAAACATACATGCTGATGTCCTGCTTTTCTGTTTTCATCAGTTATGACATATTAGATAGTCCTTACTTTGAATCAGTTACAGATAGATTGTGTGTGTGTGTGTGAATGTAAATGACAGAAGCATATCTAATAGCTCATAGTAACATGTTAACTACCTCTTTGCAAATATTTTGAGCACATTTGCAATTTGGTTCTCCATCGGTTGAATGGTGAAGCACATGTCAGTGTCCTTGAGATTACTCTACCTTACATACTGCACCTTTAAGGTCAGTATTATTAGCCCTCTTCAGCAATTTTTTTTGATAGTCAACAGAACAAATCATCATTATACAATGATTTGCCTAAATAACCTAATTAACCTAGTTAAGCCTTTAAATGGCACTTTTAGCTAAATACTAGTATCTTGAAAAATATGTAGTAAAATATTATTTACTGTCATCATGACAAGGATAAAATAAATCACTTATTAGAAATGAGTTATACAAACAATTTTAGAATGCTATTTAGGTGTTTAGAAATGGATGAGAAAGTCCTTCCATTAAATAGAAATTGTGGGAAAAAATATACAGGGGGGCTGATAATTCAGGAGGGCTAATAACTGACTTCAACAGTACAAACCTTCTATAAATCAAGGATTTATTTATTTATTTTTTTAACTAAACTGCACATCTCTTTTTTTTGTTGTTGTTTGAAAACCACCTTCTGTCCTATATATATATGCATGTTTGTCATTAGCTATGTTACCATCCAAAATGCAAATGAACTTTATGCACAAAACTGGATTATTGCATGAAAGACGTGCGAATAAAGCAGCATTTCCATCCAATGAGTCAGAGTGAACAAAATCGTCACTTCCTGATTAACTGGCGCCGAATATCAACAGTAAAAGGTCATTAATAACATAATAACACTAATACTTAAACGGTAAGGCGATTCATAATGACTAAAACAGCATTTCAGATGTTTTGCAGTGTGCTCAGTCTGCTGGTTTGTCCATTCACAAACATTTTTACCACCACATTATCTCCTTTAACAAAATCACATTACCTTTTTTTAATGCGCATGCTGGAGTTTGTGCAGTAAAAGTGTTTCCATCGCAGTTTATGCATATCTTTTCTTTTCGTATAAAAAGTTTATCCTACTCAGTTATGCGCATATGTTTTTTTTTTATGCGCATTTTCAAAATTGATGTGCATCATGGCGTTTCCATCAACTGTTTTTTTTATGCTCACATGCAAAATGCACATAAAAATAGGTGGATGGAAACATAGCTATTGTTTAGCATATTCTGAAAATTGCCGAACTGGTTACAAATATTGATTTATGTATATTTTTAAATACTTCTTCCTTTTTAGAAACCTGCAAGCCCAAGAAGGCAGTCACAAAGACATCCGGAGCTTCCCAGTGTATTTCGGACAGATGACTACTTTAAACCTCAGTCAGAGCAGTAAAGCAGAGACTTGATGAAGAGCGAGTCCGGGGTTCTCCAACATCAGCAGTGCTGCCTGCTTTCAGATGCAAACATTTCAGTCACTTTATCTGCTAATTATTCAAACGAATCCTGATCAACGACAAGTGTTATTTTAGTAGGCAGTCTAATGGCAGCTAGTTTTATAACCAACAAAAGCTTTGGTTTTTGATTTTATTTTGTTTTCCTGAAGTGCCTCTCCAGGAAGTCTGACACTGTTTCTTATAAATAGGAAAGCATGCTGAAAGAAAAACAAGTCAGAACATTAGTTAAAACGTTTATATGATTTTTATTCAAACTTGTACATAGTTTTACAGCTTTATAATTTTGTTGTCCTTTCTTCCAGTGCTTGAGATCTTTTTGCACTATTTTCACAGTTGCTATTTATCACTGATCGATCTTATTAAGGACTACAATTCAGTGTCCGGCACGTGTTGACAATTGATATTTCATGAACACACATGACCAGTGTAAATGACACTGGGTTATTATGTAGCATAAAGTGCCGCACTCTTCAGCCAAACAAACACCACAACAAATATTGTTTGTCATGGACCATTTACTTTTATACTTAAATGTCCATGGACGGTTGTGTTCTGCTAATTGTTAATGATGAGAATTGTGACTAATGATTGTCTATTTGTAATAAATTTACAGATGTAGCCTAGAGCATAAAGAGACAACTTTTTGTTACACATGTGCAAGTATGGTTGTTATTGGTCAACTGAACAAGTCTGAAGGTAGCTTTTTTATGTATATGTTTCATTTTTGTATTAGGAACTACAAAAAAGTTGTGTGTGTATGCAAGGTAAAAGTAACAATAACAGGCTTCATTAACCCTCATAATGCATTTAGTATCTGGGTGCTCTCTTTGAATTTAATGTCCAGTGGAACCTAAAAAAATGTTAGCTTAAAAACTGTCATAATATCTGGATATACAGTTTACATCTCACCAGTCACTTCAGGATTTTAAGAGTCTTAAAGTATCTCAAGATCAAAAAAAAAAAGAAAAAAATGTGATATACATATACATACACACACATGTAGCAGAACACAATAATTGAAGTGTACTGTGTAATGTCCTAAGTTTTGAGCCATTAGAAAAGCTGTCACTTTAGATTTTAAAAAAAATGTAAAAGTGTATATTATAATAATTATAAAAATAACAAGTTTTCTCAAACCCATACCTAGTAAATCCAGAGAAACAAAATAGAGAGTATTAAAGTGGTATATATGAATAGCAGGGGTTTCCAAACTCAGTTTTGGAGGGCTAGTGCCATGAATAGTTTAGCTCCAGCTTCCTTCAACATGCTTGCCTGGAAGTTCCTAGTACAGTGGTGTCCAAACTCAGTCCTGGAGGGTCGGTGTTCTTGAGGGTTTAGCTTCAACCCTAAACAAACCCACCTGAACCAGCTAATCAAACTCTTACTAGATATATTAGAAACCTCCTATCAGGTGTGTTGAAGCAAGTTGTAACTACTCTGCAGGCTACCGAATCTCCAGGACCGAGTTTGGACACCCCTGTTGTAGTATTTCTACAAAGAGCTTGATTAGGTTCAAGTGTATCTTATTGGGGTTGGAACTGAATTCTGCAGTACACCAGCCCACCAGCACCCCCTGTGTGTGAAATAATGATTTTGAATATATATTTATATATGTATTGGCGCAGTAGGTAGTGCCGTCGCCTCACAGCAACAAGGTTGCTGGTTCGAGCCTCGACTGGGTCAGTTGGCGCTGCTCTATGGAGTTTGCATTTTTGTATGTATTATAATATAATAGCTGTACTATTATGTATATAAAACTTTGTTAATAAGATTAAGGAAATATATTTTCTTTTTATGTAAAGGTTCTGTTTTGCAGAAAACAAAACCAAACAAAACATTTTAACATTAACACTCTCAAAGTACTCAATTTCTAAAAGGAAAAAAAATCTTTCCAAACCAAATTAAAATAACTGCATTACCAAAGTAAGTGAACTAAGGGTATTGACTCTGGGTATTGCTTACAAAAGGAACAGTTAGCATCAATATATTTTTGTGTTTTATTAAGAGAAATGAATTAGTATACGTCAGTTCATCATCAGTACTTCCAGTTCTAGTACGCTGAGCAGTCACATGACGAATTACGACCAATCAGCGGCGACTATCACTCTGAAGCAGCAGAGGACACAGAAACGCCGCACATGTGTTTCATCATCCGAACTTCAGTGCGAAACACGGGAAACGCGACCTATCTCTTATTCTCGACCAGTGCTGACCAAATAAATCCTTAAAGGTAGTATTCTTTATGTGTGGTTTTACGTCATACGCACTGTTTAATGCGTTCATATGCAATCAGAAGTACAGCCTCCGACTAAACAAGTATTAATAATCAAAGCAGCTCTTTCTGCCATATGTTAGTTTCAGCAGCAGTAACGTTAGGCTATTAATGTTAAAATTGAACAGCTTATTTTGTATAACGTAGCTAATGTATTGCTTACATGCATTTTACAGTTATAAGGTTTATCTGTGCAGTTTAACAGTTAAGTTGCTCAAGCCAGCTATGTGTATGTGTGGGCCGGTTTTGCAAGTCAGGAAGTATTGATGACAGGATAAAAGCTCCTATTAATAATATGAACAATTTGGCTATTATAATATTACGCATAAGTTACTTGCTAGTGTAACCAATTCACGTAAATTGCGCATCTGCTAATCGGCTTTAATACTTTTTTTTAAAGAATGTAAAAGATACGTTTTACTTTTAGTTGTGTATATATGTATTATGTTTATTGTTGTTGTTATTGACAATATTGACCAATTAACAGTAAGATGTTTCAATGCAAACATAGTGCAGCAGTATGAATCTCATTATTTCTCTTTAAGGGAGTTTATATATATATATATATATTAAGCAATAACTTATACACTTTTAAGGCAGTTAAAGCTACTAACTTGATAATCAACAGTATGCTTTAACTGAAAGAAAATTTCAAGCAAGATGGCTCATCAGCGGAAACTCGAAGCTAAATACAGTAGTACATTACTGCCCTGCTTTTTCAGCAACAATGGTTGCAAAAGTACTTTATCCTTTTCACCCTATTCTTTCTGATAAAAGCAGGCTCAGCCATTCAAACATTATTTACTCGAGATTTAATGACTCATTCACTTCCATAGATTTTTAGCTGTAAAAAAGTTCATTATGCTGCTTGATGTTGATATTTTCTTATAAAATGCTATTTTTATTTATTACATTTTCTATTTATTTACACACTGTTTGTAAAGCAAGTAGTTCGACTGTTTTTGGCGTTTGTTGTTTCTAGTAATTTTCCCCATAGATACATGAATCGAAAGTCCTAAAACAACTCTGAAGAAAAAAAAAAAAAGAGTCAAAAACTGAAGAGTCAAAAAGTCAAGAGTTTTTTTTTTTTAATATTCAAAATCAATATCTCACATAGATGTATATGAAACAATTACTTGTTTATATGCATACTAGGCAATAAACTTGAAACTAAGTATTTTGAGAGCAAGTAAGCAAGCTAAAGGTGTATTCTTTCTCACCTTGCTCGCTTCTACTCTCTGATTGGTTGATTATTATTTTTTTTTCAAAATTTTTTCCTTTACTTTTATTGAACTGTACCTTTAAACCTGATAGATTTAATTCTAATAGGCCCAATGAACACTACATTTTGTAGTATATATAATTTGCAGTAACCATTTTGTTCTATAAACTTAACTAATACATTTTTATGTACTGTATATTTAATTTAAGCTCTTTTAATTCACTTGTCATTTTCACTTTTCATGGGATTGCAGTTTGGCTTGTTAGTTTGTGCCCATTTTAAAATATGATTTTTTAAATTATATTTATTATATTCTACTTAATAATACCTTTGATGTTGTTATTAATCCGCAGCATCAGAATGTGTGGCATATGGGCCTTGTTTGGTAGTGATGAGTGCCTTTCAGTTCAGTGCACTAATGCCATGAAGATCTTTCATCGTGGACCGGATGCTTTCCGCTTCGAGAATGTCAACGGTTTCACTAACTGCTGCTTTGGGTTTCACCGTCTTGCGATTGTGGACCAGCTTTATGGCATGCAGCCTCTGCGAGTCAAAAAGTTCCCTTATCTGTGGTTATGTTACAACGGTGAAATCTACAACCACATCAAGGTTGGTAACAGTGTTTTTGACATCTCATCTCAATGAATCCACTGAATTACTGAAAGTCTTACTTTTTTATTTAGAGGTATTAAAATATTTGAAATTTTTGTATTTATTTGAATAAAAAACACTTCAGACTACATGGCCTAAATGTTTGTGTAACAGATTTCTTTGTTGGATCACAACCAACGGTTTGGAACACGTGGCACGTGGATTAATATCTATATATGTATATGTATGTATGTATGTATGTATGTATGTATGTATGTATGTATGTATATGTGTGTGTGTATATATATATTTTTTTTCTCACATTTTTTTTTTTCTCACAGAGAGATCGACTCTTGCGTCATACAAATCACATATATGAAAGCATTTAGGCTTTCCTGTGTTTTCTGTCACTACTTGTTTAGGCTGCATCAATGCATTCAGTGTAAGCTGCATGATTAATCATTAAAAGATCGGGATCTCAACACCCACGCAACATAAATTATAGACCTTTTTCGTGTTTTGTGCCATTTAAATGAAGCCTCGTCATCACTTAAGTGATAATTTTCTCTTTTTTTTCAAATATATAACCAGCTTAAACAAATGTAAATCACCAAAATGTACTGTCCCACAAACAGATTGATTAAAAGACTGGCACAAAGTGAAAATAAAGTGGCATTTTGAAATGACAGAAAAACGCATACAGTACCATGGTAAAAACTACACGATATAAACAAACTAAAAGAAACACAAACGGCTCCTGATTAGAATCAACATGCAAATCAGCCAGCAGAGTATCAGTAACATACTTTTATTTTTTGGAAATTGCATGGCTATTACATACCTGTTAAATTTCATGCCAGCAATATGGTTTGCTCAATAATGCAGTGATCTATTGTGTGTGTGTGTGTGCGTGTGCGTGTGTGCGTGCGTGTGTGCGTGTGTGTGTGCGTGCGTGCGTGCGTGTGTGTGCGTGCGTGTGTGCGTGTGTGTGTGCGTGCGTGCGTGCGTGTGTGTGCGTGTGCGTGTGTGTGTGTGTGTGTGTGTGTGTGTGTGCGCACGTGTGTGCGTGTGTGTGTGTGTGTGCGTGTGTGTGTGCGTGTGTGTGTGCGTGTGTGCGTGTGTGTGTGTGTGTGTGTGTGTGTGTGTGTGTGTGTGTGTGTGTGTGAGCCCATTATAGCAGATGACAGGTCAGGAACACTTATAATGTATTTTAGCATATGACGGCAGACAGTGAATTAGTAGAATGTTTTTCTCTTGTGCTTGAACTGCATCTGACAGAGGTATAACTGCTTTAACACAAACCTTTCAAAATCAAAGTTGTTGATCACAAAAACACTCCATAAGCCACTCAAAACAGTATTGACAACCATTTTCGGATCAAGATTTTCCAGTTGTAAATGCTGTAAACGGAAGTTCTCAGCATCCTATTGGAAGACGCTGGTCGCTAAGGCGGCTTCCATGCAGCAACAAAGAAAAAGGTCTATAAATGATGCTGATTTGCAAATGTTTAATAATCCTTCGAATCGCTGCATTCAAATCTGTGTTTGTAAAATCAAGAAATAGATTCAGTCTTTAGTCTTTTGAGTTAGTTATGAAGTTACGAATAGTCAATACAAAAGAACTGGGAAAACAGTTTGTAGTGTAGATATAACCACTAATGTTTATGATAAAGATTAAAATCACCATCATGCATTTAATGATGCTTAAAAAAATGAAAACTGTAGGCAGCAATTGCATTATTTAACTAATAGGTGGCGAAAACCAGCTCCAATCAAATAATATGTCACTGAATAATTCTTCAAAAATTATACATCAGCAATGAAACATGAAGTTTTATGAATCGTTTATTGAAAATGAGACTTAAATATAAATAATGATTGTACAAAATATGATGTTAGTTTTCTACATTGAGCATTATCAGCAACAGTTGTTGTAACAGTAAATTTTTCACACTACTGAATATTTCACTATTTTTATTCAGCTGATTATTTCTTCATTTTATTTATGAAAATACAGGTTCTAAGTTGTGTTTGTTAAAATCAAAAGTGTCTTCCAGTGCTGTTTTAGTAATAAATGCAAAAGCAAATGACATTTGTCTTTTCTTTTTGTCTGATCCGATAAATAGTCCGATCTGTGACTAAAAAAAACATTATGTGATCCGAACCTTGACAGTTGTGATTCGTTACACCTCTAAAAAACTGACCTGGGTAATAATTTGATATTAACAACTTTATAATTTAAAATAAATATGAAATTATTGGGCAGAACTACCAAACAGAGACCGTTGACTTAGTGTGATGATAATGGAATTAGCAGTGTTGCCAAAATAAAAGTACTCCCAACAAATCTGCCAGGCAGAAATCTCACCAATGCTGATGGTCTGAAAATATATCAGTCAACCACTTCGTTTAATATAACTTTTAAATATGACCATAACTTCTAAAAAATGTTTCTTATATGAGTCTGATAGCTTTTATTTCCAGTAATTGTGTACTGTGCCATCTGTTCATCTTCTTCCATACAGCTGAAGAATCACTTTGAGTTTGACTATCAAACCAAAGTAGATGGTGAGATCCTTCTGCATCTGTACGATCGCTTTGGAATCGAGAAGATGTGCTCCCTGCTGGATGGTGTGTTCGCCTTCATCTTATTAGACACAGCTAACAGAAAGGTTCACTTGGGAAGAGATACATACGGCGTGAGACCGCTATTCAGAATGCTGACTGACGATGGTTTTCTAGCTGTCTGTTCTGAAGGCAAAGGTAGAATCATTGTAGTGTTTTTACTCACTCATTTGTGCTGTTAAGTGATTGTATGAATCTCATTCAAACTTTTGTACCTGAACAGGTCTAACACAGATCAAACACTCCATGCCCACTGCAAAGATCACTGCTTTTCCACCGGGACACTTTGAGGTGTTTGACTTGAAGCTCAATGGGAAAGTGGAGTCTGTTCAGATGGATCGCTTTCACTGCTGCACAGACAAACCCAAACATGCTGACTTTAACAAACTCGAGGGACTGGGCACAGGTAGATCACATTCAGATTAAAGTCGTTTTTAGTGTTTATTTGCAGGGTTCCCACTGGTCAGAATATCTGGAATAGCATGGAATTTTAAGTAGACTATTCCCAACATTGAACAACAGGGAATTTATTTATTATTTTGTTGTCACGGAAGTCACAGAATATCAGTAATTTTTGTTTGTCACTTTAAATTTTAGTTTTGATTTATCAAAATGTATTTCTTCTATACTGTATTTTTTATATAGCTTCATTTACTGCCTTATGTTATGGTCAGGCTATGTTTCAGCTTCATTTTATTTCTTTTCCTGCTTATCAACTGGCATCCACTTGACTGTGATGCACCAGACTGTAACTGTTAACTAAGGGTGTTTTCACACTTGGTTCGATTGCCTGAACCGTACCCAGATTCGATTGTCCACCTTGCCACCTTCTCGGCTAGTTTGTGTCCACACTTGCTGGGTCCGAAACCGCCTACTACTTAGTAGGTACTGCATTTGAATTTAAATGTACTATTCGGCAGTTAAAAAATTACGAATAGACGTATGTAAATGGAAGAAGTATGAATAGAATTCGGACAAACTACCTCTGCCATTTTGTCATGGTCACGTGACCTACCTGCATCAGTTGCGATGCTTCACTCCCATTCATGAATTCGCTCAAAGGGCATCTTGGGATAGCGCAGCGTGCATGGGATGAGCACTTCAGAATCTCACCGCAAGTAGTAAGGCATCCGCATACTGATACTACTGGTATCCGCATACAGGTACTTGCATACTGATTTTGGAATTCTATGAATTCGGACATACTACTGGGCTCACATAATGATTTTATCATACTATATATTATGGAAGTATGCAGTTTCAGACGCAGCCACTGTCTTTTTCCTTCTAAACCCGGTACGCTTACATCATTGAGCTGCTGTTTTGTTTACGGCTGTTGCTTGGTGACATTCACGAAAGCAAAGCACCAAAATGGAAAGACGTATGCACATTGCGGTCGTTCTGCTTTTAGGTTTTGCACATACAGAAAGCGACTTGCTTTTGCTCTGCTGCAAAAGTATTCTAAATGTTCAGAATATAACGCGATGTCTGCAGAAGCTGTTTTTGAAGGAGACTAGCAGACATTATCACTGTGATTGCCCTGGCTCAGTCCCGCTTTTCACCATAGTACAGTACGTGATGTATACAGCGGCACATATGCGAATGAACGTTATGAAAACAATAGTTTGTAGTACAGTTTGCTGTTCACTTCCGTTATTTAGTATGATTGCATTCATACCAGAAGTGAACTGGACCAGAGTTTGCATGAACCGTACCCCAGACCACCTTTTTCTGGTGGACTCGGGTACAGATTGTGGGTGCACACCCAAGTTCAGAAGACACTTCCACACTAGCTAAACGTACCGCCAAACGCACCATACTCTTGACGTCAAATGAACCCGGGTGCAGACCAAAAGTGCTAGTGTGAAAGCACCCTAAGGCTAACATGCTAGGATAATCTACATTTAAAGAGATTCAGGAAACTGTTAAAAGGTAGACAGCAGAAAAGGTTATTGTTTTGTAAACATTTTATAAAACTACAGTCAAGTATTTTGAAAATAAAATCAGAGGTAAATTGTTTATTCTTGTTTGCATAGTGGTTTTTAAAGTCATGCAAAATGATATTCAAAATCATTGTAATATTGTGTTATTATTTTAACATATTATTTTAATGTTTTATTATTATATAAGCACAACCATGGCCTGTTTTATTTCTTTCATTAGATATCATGGAAATTTTTATGGAGGGTTTTTACTCAGTAAAATTCTATAACAGATTTGTGTAAACATGAAACAGCTTGCTTAAATTGGTCATACCTGACAAAATGTATTAAGGTATAAACAAAAGTATATAACTTTTTTCCAAATAATTTAGAATTAGGTGCTACGCTGTGATAGTAATATTTTTAGTATGCTTATAATTATTATTATTATTATATTAATATATTATTATACAGCATGACATTTTAGAGGTTATATTCTGTAAAAAAATGGTGAATATATATATATATATATATATATATATATATATATATATATATATATATATATATATATATTTTATTTTTTTTTTAATATAAACTCAAACATGAATCCTAATTGAAAGAAAAAAGAAAGATTCAAATAGCTTTCAGTTCTTATGAATCTATTATTTTAATATTTTTCAAATTTTCTAAACTTTTGAATGTAGTATAAATAGTTGTTTAGCCTCTCGATCTCTTTAGCTCTTTAGCATCTGTTTACATTACATCAGTATTTCTGAACCATCCATTTATTTCCCATCAGACTTCGAATTGGAGACAGTCAAGAGCAACATTAGGATCCTGTTTGAGGATGCAGTAAGGAAACGCTTGATGGCTCACAGAAGAATCGGTTGCCTTCTCTCAGGTGCGTTGACTTGTTCAGATATTTGTTTTAATTTAATGGCTTTGTAAATTTATTTTTAATGCTTAAATTTCCAGGTGGTCTCGACTCAAGTCTGGTTGCTGCTTTGCTTGTGAAACTGGCCAAAGAAGAGAAGCTTCCATATCCCATTCAGACTTTTTCCATTGGTGCTGAGGACAGTCCAGATGTCGCTGCTGCTCGCAAGGTAAAACAGTTTGTGCATGGCTGTAAATAGTGGACATTTAAAAGAGCGTGTTCCTCTAAAACTGTTTCAACTTTAATTTTGTTTCAGCTAGGGATGTACGATATATCGGCGGCCATATCGTTATCGGGCGATAAATGCTATTTTTGTGATTATCTTTATCGATTCGATGTCTAAATTAGGGCGATATCTTAAATCCGATAAATGACGTAATTTTACAGAACTGCCTGCCGCGCACGCGTGGGCGGAACATGTTCAGACTTGTCCTGTGCACTATAATGGATCTGTCCTCACACTGTTTAATCTTTCAAAGTCTGTCCTTTCTTCATGTCGTTTTGCTGTGCATTAATAACTCCGTAAGTAACCATTATCCTTATCATTGTAGATATGTTTGATTGAGTGTCATTATGTAGTTTGCTTTAAAAATATTAAAGATGAAAGCCTTTCCTGCTCTGTCTCTTTGTTGTGTTAGAAATAGCAGGGGAGATTCACTTAATACTCCAGGGCCGAATAATAGTTTGACACATGTAACTTGGCCCAATCACCAAAGAGGGAACATCACTGAAAACCGCTCCTCTTTTCTGTCTCTCCCTCTGTGCTTCACACACGCACATACACACACACACACTCCAAACTGCACACCCTGCATACGTGCTAAACAAAAACTTGTCGGTAGGGTTTTTATCTAATATGATTCATTGTTATTATCAACGCGTTGCTTGTCATGTGTTGTTGATGTAAGATTGTATTCAGTTTGATTGGAATATTCATACTGATTATAACGAGCGCGCGTGAAAGCTGTCAACCCCAGTGCACACACATATGACAGCCTTCACAGATCAACAGGGGAGAGCCTATAGGTGCACCGGTCACTGAATCCAGCGTGTGAATCCAGATATTCTGCTCTGTGTTTTTCATAAAGTGATCTGAGCTCAATGATCAGGTTTGTATCAAAATCTGACTCCGAGGGCAAATCTGCGCCCTCACAGCGGTTTATCATAAACTTTTCACCGATCATTTTCCCGTGATTGACTGCAAGAACGAACACAGAAGCGCTGTCTGATTGACAAGCACTGCACTATGTGTTCAAAAGAATCTAAAACGCCATAAAGGATTAATTTATGTTGCATTTTTTAAAATAATACATTCTGTATCTAGCTTTTCACTTGTACAGTGGCTCTGAACTGTCAAAACACCTCTTAAAAAGGCTTTTTCGGACATGACGTATTTGTACACATGTACATTACTGTAACACATTTTATTCAAGAAAATTTGAGCTGGTTTCAGTCCTTAGCTCTTTTATTTTCATCTTATTTAAAAATGTATTTATCTTGCTTGTTGATTAAATCCCTTTTTGTTATTTAACCCAGTGGTTCCCAACCTGGGGTCCTAAGGGGGGCGCCAGAGTTCACAAGGGGGGCGTGGGAGAGGATAAGTGTTGAGGTAGAAAAAGGCATAAAAATGCTCCACTATTATATAGGGCTGTACAATTAATCAAAAATCTGATTTCGATTTCAAACGATTATAAAAAAGCATTAATCGAGATAAACGATTATTGCATCATATACCGCCACCTTTCCAGTTGTACACGTGTTGCTCTTAAAAGCCCGAAAGAGCGCGTGCTTATGTGTGTGTGCAGAACGCATACTCAGTCAGAAGCATGCGCACACTGAGACGAGTAGAGGAGCGCAGACATCTAAAGTCATTAACGTGAGCGATTTAATGATCAAATAGATGTCAAAACGTGGTGTTTAGTGATTATTTATATTAACCCTCATTTGTGTAATAAACAAACGAGTTGAGCATCAAAAGACACGTGAAAGAGAAACCAAAGAGACAGCGAGAAATATTCCTGCTGCCGCCTGTTTTTATGATTATTAATCAAGCAACGAGAAAATCCCTCACTAGTCTTGACTAAAGGACTGCTGTAGCTAAAGTGCTTTTCTTACAGTGAAGATGCTTAAAGCACAGTTTGTTTTATATTTTTATTCGGTTGTATTCTGTTGTATTTATTTCTCTTTCCTTTGCAGGGTGGAAAAAAACTGTATGCAAACACTTGAAGTCAAAATTATTAGCCCTCCTAAATATTAGCAACCCTTTTCCTCCCAATTTCTGTTTCATAGAAAGAAGTTTTTCTTTTTTACTTATTTCTGAACATTATAGTTTTAATATCTCATTTCTAATTACTGATTTCTTTTATCTTTGCTATGATGACAGTACATAATATTTTACTAGATATTTTTCAAAATACAAGCATTCAGATTAAAGTGCAATTCAAAGGCTTAATTAGGGTAATAAGGCAAGGGGGCTAATAATATTGACCTTAAATTGGTTTCAAAATATTTAAACCTGCTTTTATTCTAGCTAAAATAAAACAAATAAGCCTAGAAGAAAAAATATTATAGGAAATACTGTTAAAATTCCTTGTTTTGTTAAACATAATTTGGGAAATATTTATAAAAAAATAAAAAAAATTCTCAGGAGCGCTAATAATTTTGACTTACAATTATGACCAAGATAATCGTGATTATGATTTTTCCCAAAATCGAGCAGCCCTACTATTAAATATGTATTTTTAAGTACCAAAAAAAAAATATATATATATATAAATATATATATATATATATATATATATATATATATCAAAACACATGCTTAAAATTCCAACATAAAAGTAAAAATAATTAAAATAAATAACTTAAAATAATTATTGAAATTTTGCTCACTCAGGCAATGTGCTTGTCAACGTGTCGTAAAGGCAAAATCAAAACAAAATCGGCAGAGAAACGTAAATGCAGTGATTCTTCAGAGGCGAAGAAAAAGATTAGACAGTATGACAAAGCCTACCTAAATTTTGGTTTTATTGAAGGCCAAGACAAGTTAAAACTGATTAATTTATATTTTCTATACACATATATATATATATATATATATATATATATGAGGGGGGGGTGGCGGGCCCTAAGAACAAGGTTGGGAACCACTGATTTAACCTATTACTCTTATGCAACAGTCAACTTGCATGTTAATTTGCTATGAAGAAAAGGAAATAATCAATTTTTTGCATGCTGATTTATGTGAAATTGTGAATATAGGTCTGTATAATCACCTTGCAATTTTGAAATTATAGCTTTTTTGCTTTGAGTATAGACTATTCAGTTCATAAGAGCAGTTCAATCTTTTATGAAGTTTGCTATATAAAAATATATCTTTTTGAAATATTTATAATTACCGGCCTATACATATCGGCTATCAGCCTCCAAGTCTAAAGAATTATCGGTTATCGGTATCGGCCAAAAAATCCATATTGGTGCATCCCTACAGCTCTATTTTATAAATGTTGTGTGTGTGTTTTATAAAATTTTTATATTGTATTTGAAAAATCGAATGAAATATTTGATATTTCATATGATTTTTTTATGCTGCAAAATATTTTAAAATGGTAAAACTAGTTTTTTTGTCATCAATTTTTGTACCTTCTTACAGTCACACTGAGGCCCAGCTAACCATAAAATTTACTGGGTAAACAGGGTTAACAGGGTATATGCATTTGTATGCAGAAGGACTTTAAATTTTTTAATAACTTGGGTCAACTGCTTCCGGTGAACTGTATGCAGTTACAAAATTGGTGCGTTTAAGATGTGTTTTCTTCAATAATCAACGATCTTCACTGCCTGGGCATGAGGTGAGTCTCAGATTATACAAGAAACACTGCATTAAATTAATTTTTCCCATACCATGTCTTTAAAATTATTTTATTTTACCCCAGTATTTTCAATGGTGTTTCTGCGCTTGCCTGATGATCCTGTCGGGTGCGTGCGTGTAAATGGGTGTTCATATTGGTTTACGCTTGAACAACTAAATGAATGCTTAAGTCTATTTAACTAAATTTATTTTAGGAACATTTCAACATCGATGCTTAGAAAGGAACCTTATAAAACTGAAAAATCACATTAACCGTTCACCAGAAGTTAATCTGTGTGGAAAGAAATTTTATTTGTGCACATACCCTATGTTGTATAATCTGTAATATATCTATAATTACATTACAAAGTTAATAGTGCAAAAATGCATTTTAAAACATTAATTAGCAAAACAGTTTGCAAATTTAGTAAATTTAGCAAATTTAGACCTCACATAAATATGAATGGCAATGAGGTAAATTGGTGATGTATTGGCGCAGAAGGTAGTGCTGTTGCCTCACAGGCAAGAAGGTTGCTGGTTCGAGCTTTGGCTAGTTTAGTTGACATTTCTGTGTGAAGTTTGCATGTTCCTCCTGCGTTCACGTGGGTTTTCTCCGGGTCCTCCGGTTTCCCCCCACAGTCCAAAGACATGCGGTGCAGGTGAATTGGGTAGGCTAAACTGTCCATAGTGTATGAGTGTGAATGAGTGTGTATGGATGTTTCCCAGAGAAGGGTAGCAGCTGGAAGGGCATCCGCTGCATAAAACGTATGCTAGATAAGTTGGCTGTTCGTTTCGCTGTGGCGGCCCCAGATTAATAAAGGGACTAAGCCGAAAAGAAAATGAATGAATGAGTTAAATTTAGTTGATATATTTAGTGTGACCTCCTAAAGATGACGATCAGTATTTTTTCTTTTCAGACCCAACAACTTTATGATAAGTACCTTTTGCAGTTTGATGGTAGATAAGTGTAGATTGATCTACGTTTATGTTTCAGGTGGCAGACTACATTGGCAGCGAGCACCATGTGGTAAACTTTACACCAGAGGAAGGCATCAGTGCGCTGGAGGACGTCATCGTTCACTTAGAGAGTTATGACATCACCACTGTTCGTGCCTCTATTGGTGAGTGCTCTTCATCAATTTCATAACAACACTATGTTCTTCAGGAGCAATTAAGCCCCCTTCGGACTACACAACTTTTATTGTTTGTCACTGTGTCAGATTATGTGATTTTTGGCTAGATGGTATCAAGTATGTCTAAGACACGCAATCTGTTATCAAGAAGCTGCATGTATTACAAACGTTTCTCCAATTGTCCATCGTGTCTCCCACAGATAGCAGTTTCCCATAAATGTATGTGTGTAGATGTGTGTCTCCTAAATGAAAACTGTAGATAAATAGATTCATTCTGTGCCAGCAAGAGGTGTTTTTTTAGCTGCAGGAGTGATTTCCCAGCAACGGCTGTAAACAAAGCAGTAGACAGTCGGCTACCTTTAAAAATATACCATAAAGTTTCTCGCACAGCATTTTGGATGAGAACATATTAAGTGATTTTTACATATTGGGCCTCGGCTATCAATCTTTTTATTCTGACATGGTGGTTCTGAGATGACACATCATACAGGCGCACTGTTGCCATGAATCCACAAAGTTTATTCCCTTTTATGGAAGCCATCCTCTTGTTTTATTTATTTGAAAACTTGTGTATGGAAGAGATTATCTTCTCCTATTGGTTTGTGTCACCCATGTGATTGAATCTGTTGTGCACAAATCAGGAAAAAGTTATGTTATATGAATGGACTTTAGATCATTTCTTTAAATTACCCATGTTATTTTGAGGAACACAAAATGTAAAACTGTTGTTCTTTTGCATATATTTAAATGTGATCCTGGACTACAAATCTAGTTATAAGTGTCAGGTTAAAACAGACATTCATACATCATTCTCCTAAAAAGCATAATAAATAAGCTTTTCATTGATGTATGGTTTGTCAGGATTGAACAATGTTGGGTTGAGAGATGCAACTATTTAAAAAAAATAGTGTTTAAAAAATCGAAATAATGAAAAATCATCTTTAAATAAAGTGCTAAGCACTGCACATTATTAATCAAAAATAGAGTTTTGATTACAGTAGGAAATGCACCAATAAATCTGGTCTGTTTTAGTAAGTTAATATTCTATAATAAAGTATCTGTACTTTTAAGTGTTTGAGTTGTCCACTGTTTGTATTTAACATTTGCAAAGAGTTTTTAAAACCGATTGTTACTGTTCCCATAGACCTCATTCAGTTGAGTTTGAGGTTTAGTTCCTCTGCCCAACTCATTTGACTCTGCAGCGTTGTGAGTCCTCTGGATTAAAGACAATAGTGGTCTGAAACTTGTAAAATGCGTCATCAGCATCAGGCCACAAAGAAACTTAGATAGAAGAATAGGCTTAGCATAAGCTAATCTCATCTCTGTTTCCACAGCTTTATTCCAGTGGTGTTTTTATTTTTATCTGTGTAAAAAAGCTGTTTCTAACTTTGTGAAACAGACTTTATTGTGTGTATTTATATTTTTATTATTAAGACATAAATGGCATATATCTTCTATTCACCTTTTTTCCTGCTTGTGACTGCTGAGTGTCAAAGTATGGGCTGCACCTCCAGTTTGGGAAACTTCCATTTAAAAGAACTGAAACAAATTATTATTATTATTATTTTTTTTTTTAAAGTAAGGTTATGCTATGAGTAACCAATTAATAAGATGGAATCTGTGTGGAAAGTACATTTGGGCATTTACTATATATTTATCCACCATAAAAATAATGTTACACTATACATTTTAATGATGTTAGCACTACAAGCAAGTCTATGGTCAGCTCTTTTGAGATCTGTTTTGTTCCTCCATTTTATTTTCTCTCCGTTTTCTCTACATTACAATAATAATCAACACCTCTATAAAATTGCTGGACTTTATCCCAAGTCTTCAGTGTTATTCACAGTCTGCAGAAAGTAATTTTTAAAGTTTACTTTTAATACTCCATGGCTGTACACCAAGGAGAATAACGTCACCTCACTGTACACCATTTTCAAAACGCCTTCACTGATTGTTTGCAGCTTAACTGAAGTTACTCCCATAATTTACACAAAGCATCACGTGTCGTACAGAAAACATGCTTGACCTGTGGCACCATATTATAGTTACGTGCAAAAGCTAGCTATTTACGGTAAGAGATACTCCAAGTTGATATACAAGTATAACCATAAGCGCTCTATTTGCCTACATACTGAGAGCCACTAGATGGCAGCAGGAGCATTCTGTGATTCTGTGTGTGGCGTTTTTCTGTAGGAATGTACCTGGTATCAAAATACATCCGAGAGAAGACAGACAGTGTGGTGATTTTCTCAGGTGAAGGTTCAGATGAGCTGACACAAGGATACATCTACTTTCATAAGGTACATGCCATTGCTATGTCAACTTGTGTATATTGACAATGACTTTTTAAAGTATTTGGACACTTTAAAGGCAGATTAGTTTGAATGTAACTTGTTATTGTACTGTGCAGATAGTACAACTCTTAACTGTTCTGTTTTATTAGATGTCCTTCAATAACATGTTTGCTAATTAATAGTGAATCTGCTTTTGTGCACTATGCTTGATTTGGTATTTTATTACATTTATAAGCCTCGACTAGATGTAATGATAATGATCAAAAATAAATATTTACAAAGTAATTTTTATGCTTCTAAACCTTTTTGAGATTTAATATAAAAATGTAAAATTTTGAAGAATTTTTGAAATGGGTAACCATTGAATTCTATAGTGGAAAAATGCTATGGAAGTCTATGGCTATTGAGTTTCCAACATTCTTCATATTTTCTTTTGTGCTTAACAGAATTCAGAAAGTTTGAAATGTGGGTGATGACGGAGCTAACATCTTTTGGATGAACTATACCTTTAATAACATATTTAAACTCTAATGTACTTTTATTTAACTGCAACTAACATGCAGTGTAGAACTATCTAGGTACAATTTTATGCTGCTACATGATATGTTGTCTTTGAAATAAATGTATTTTAACATTTATATGAAGCAAAAATAATTATAAAAAACACATGTATGCATGTTCAAAGATGAGATTGCTTATTTGTGTCGCAGTTCATCACTGCAAAATATATATTTTAATGTTCACAAGAAATGAAAGGGTCAATGAAAATGTTTTGAGAAAATACAAAAAATAAAAAATAAATACAATTATTAATAAATAGTGTTTTTAAATGTTAAAATATATTAAAGAAATAATTAAACATTGTATTAAGGTATAAAATGATTTCATTTTGAAATATAAAATATAAATAAAATAATATAATAGTTTTAGCAAGTAACTGCAAAGTATATTAAAATTAGTGAAGTAAAGTAAATTAATGTGTAATAAAAACGTTCTGCAAGGAAAATTAAAATGCTACTTTATTATTCTAATAAATAAATTCTTGATCTGTCTGTCTTTGAATCATAGCACAAAATTATTAAAATGCAATAGTTTATATTGCATGTTAACTTGCATTGCGAAGTTCAATTTAAGTTTAATCACAAAAAAAAGTTAGGCAATATACACGTTCACATTCAGTGCAACAAAACACACTTTAACTTTAGTTTCAAGATATTAGAGATTATGTATCATTCCAGTACTTAATGAGTTGGGTTGCTTGAATGCTTGACTCTTTTTGAAACAGGCTCCATCACCTAAAGCTGGTGCAGAGGACAGTGTGCGTCTGCTGGAAGAGCTTTATCTGTTCGATGTGCTGAGAGCCGACAGAACCACTGCTGCTCATGGGTAACACCGACTGTCCCTTATCTTTACTGGCCACATATCACTGTGTCAGTTACTTAAAAACCAACTTCACATTTCTTCTTTAGACTGGAGTTGAGAGTGCCTTTCCTGGACCACAGGTTCACAGCGTACTACCTCTCTCTGCCTGAAGAGATGAGAGTGCCTAAGGTGAGCTTTCTTTGTTTCACTTATTTATCAGTAGCACTTTATTTTACACTCCCGCTTTCACATATTCATTCTACTTGAATGCACTTATCTAAATCATTACATAAATGAGTAATAATAGCTAAGTACTATCACTAAACTAATTTCTGAAACTAACATTGAAGGATTGTTTAACCCCGACATGAAAATAATTACTCATCAGGGTGTCCATGGGGTCTTAAAATATCTTAAATTCTTAATTTAAATTGCCTGAAATATTGACTTGTAGGTCTTAAGTCATTTAAAACGACTTAATTTTCTTTGTCCATGTAAGCTACCCTATCAGGCCAACAGCCATCCAGTCACCAGCACTCCATCTCAATAAAAACATTTGACAACTATTTGTTAACTCAATATGTTTAATTATGTTTTATTATATAAAAGTTATCCATGTGTTTATAGACCTTATATGATGAGGACACTGATCTGAACAGACTGTTGTGCATCTATTTAGTTTATTAGAGTTTTTTTTTTTTTTTTAAACAAGTTTTAAGAAAATTTATGTTGAAAAATGTATATGCACACAAGTGTGTTTGCATAATTTGACACTTTTATATACGTGGCTAAGAAATATCTCATTCGAATTTTTTTAGAGGCAAGTAAAAAAATATTTATATAATTATACAAGCGTTTAGCCTTGTATAAGTGTGAAATTTCATTCATAATCGTCTTAAACAGTTTTAAATTTAACTTGGTAAAACACCCTGACTCATCCTTGTGTCGTTCCACTCCCTTCATACCTTCATTCTGGTTTGTAACTGGTTTAAAAACAAGTCTAGAGTGAGCAAATGGTGGCAGATTTTTATTTTTTAATTTTTTTTTGGGGTAAACTATTCCTTTAAAAGTTGTTGAACTGTTTTATAAAATCTTCACATATTTCTTTGACTTTATATCACATATGACTTTACACGCATGTTGGTAATAAGTAAACCTTCACTCTTGTAATATTACCTAACTGTGTAATATTTTGTGAATATTATGATGATTTTGGCTTTCATTAGTTCAACTATAGGGTCATTCTGGCTGTATTGTAATCAGTTTCACACAGTCAGGGCATTTACTCTATAGTGTCAAACTTCATATGGTTAAAACTGTAATTATGACATTATTGTAGACCACAAATGTACTGGTTTCTGAAAGCAGACTGAATAAGTTGTTTGATGTGAACAGAATGGTGTGGAGAAGCATCTTTTGAGGGATGCATTTGATGGGATGAACCTGATTCCTGATGAGATCCTTTGGAGAAGGAAAGAGGCTTTCAGTGACGGTTTGACATCAGTGAAGAAATCGTGGTACACCAGCCTACAGGAGCACATCGAGTCTGAGGTACTGCACATTTGCATACTCGTGTAATGGTACACATATCACAGACAGGTCTTTCTATTTCTTACTCATGTGCAGGGCCAGACTAAAACTGCTGACTTTTTTTTTTTTTTTTTGCTCTGATTGTGCTAAAAAGACAGAATTTTTTTTTACATATTGAATTTACAAACTGCATTGCAAATAAATACATTTTATTTTTTGTTAATTTTTAGTTAATATATTTATATTAATACTTATTTATTAATTCATTTATTTTCCTTCAGCTTAGTCCCTTTTTTATCGGGTTTCGCCACAGTGGAATTAACCATCAACTCTTCCAGCATATGTTTTACGCAGTGGATGCCCTTCTAGCCACAACCCATTACTGGGAAACACCCATACTCTCTCACATTTTAACACTGTGGGGAAACTAGAGCACTCTGAGGAAACCCATGCGAACACAGGGAAAACATGCAAACGCCACACAGAAATGCCTATTGGCCCAGCCAGGACTTATAAAAACAGCTAAATATGCATTTATAAATATTTTGTGAATAAATAGACGTGTGGGCCTACTTTTGTGTATTGAAAGAATAGTGTTGCATTAACAAATGTGCATGCACAACTTAATTAGAATTTTTTAGTTATACTTTCGTTTTTACAAATCAATATTGATTCCCAAATGAACACTTCACTTTTTTACATACTAATTTACACCAAAATGAGACTATAAATCCTAGCCATATCGACCTCAAAGTTTTAATTTTACCTCAGTCTTAGTACACAATGTCACTACAGAAGAGTCCAGCTTTAAATAGAAGAATTATCAAAAATATTTGCACAAGATGCTAATGGTCTAATCTAATTCAATGATTTATGCTAAGCTAAGCTAAGTGCTTTCACTAGACCCAAAGATCTGCTGAATAAATAAAAAAAAAATTTAAAACTCAGCCATTTAACATTAGGAAGGTGGTAAATTGAGCCTTTAAAGTGTTCCTTTAAATCTCAAGATTGATATTTAGGTTGATTTCTGTCGATTTCATGAATGAAACTTTACGATGTTATATAGCACACCTTCTGTATAATAATTGATGATTAGTCAATACACATTTACTAACCAAATTCTATTATGCTCTTCAAATTCTATCATAATTTCTCTTTACTGCTGCTTACATTGGAAAAGTTGCATGTAATTTCTCAATATGTTTAAACAAGCAGCCTGCACCTAATGTCTTGTAGCATTGACATTTACCTCAGAAGTCATTTTTAGTGTTCACAGTCAGTAAAACTATTAAATAAAACCACTGTGTAAAGTATTATTTACCGACAAATTAGAGTAGAAGCACAATTTAATAAATAGATTTTAGTGTTGATTTCAGTAAATCTAAAAATAAACAAATCTTATAATTGTAATAGTTTAATTATGACTATAAATATTTATTCGTAATTTTAATAGTTTGTGTTATTTTGAAAATGGTATATATAAAATCGTAATGTCCGAGTATTAGTTTAGTTTTTTTCCTTACGAAAATTGGGTATCACTTTATTTTAAGATGTCCTTGTTACAAATGTTCCATCTATTTACTTTACTTATTACAATTATTTATGCTTAATTACATGCGACTAACTTTTTATAAGTACCACTAATGAATTATTATTACTTAATAGTTAAATAAAAAAGTTTAACTGAATGTGCGTGTCATTAAATTTAAATGTATTATTGTACACACATTTTTTTTTTTACGTTTAGTTTTTCTATTCTGTACCAAACATCTAGCAAACAATGACAATGAAAATTAACCATCATTTCTGTAAAATGTTAAACCCCTTATACATGCTTTGGACTCTAAATGAAAGCCTTTTTTCTTTTTTTCTCTCAGCTGAATGACTCTCAGTTGGAGAATGCTAATAAACTGTACCATATCAATCCTCCCACAACCAAAGAGGGCTTGTTCATCAGACAGATCTTTGAGAAGCATTACCCTGGCCAAGGTGAGTGGACGCCACATTACTGGATGCCCCGCTGGATCAAGGCCACAGACCCTTCAGCCAGAACACTGTCCATCTACAAGCCTGATAAAGAGCAGTAATCACATCAACACTCAGACCTCAGTCAACATGCATACATTCTCTACAGCAACTTCCCCAAAATATATAACATTGCCACAACTTTCTCTGTTTGTTTTACTAAAGTCTTTATGCACTGATTTGTTTTGTCTTAGCCTTAAAGAAAATCAGGTTCTTTAGAGATTTGTGTGAATTTTATTTATTATTATAATTTTTTTATTATTATTTTTATTGTATTTTTTTTTCAATATAAAAATGTAGGAATTTTCAAATCTACAGGCCTTACTTTACTCAATATACACTCATCCGCCACTTTATTAGGTACACCTGTCCACCTGCTAGTTAACGCATTAAATATTTAAATAGTCAATTACAAGGCAGCACCTCAATGCATTTAGGCATGTAGACTTGGTCAAGATGATCTGCTGCACTTCAAACCATGCATCAGAATGGGAAAGTAAGGTGATTTAAGTGACTTTAAACGTGACCTAGATGTTGGTGCCAGACGGGCTGGTCTGAGTATTTCAGAAACAACCATCTCTTGGGTTTGCAAAGAATGGTCCGAAAAAGAGAAAATATTCAGTAAGCGGAAGTTCTGTGGGAGCAAACACCTTGTTGATCCCAGAGGTGGAAGGAGAATGGCCAGACTGGTTTGGGCTAATAGAAAGTCAACAGTAACTCAAATAACCACTCGTTACAACTGAGGAATACAGAAGAGCATCTCTGAATGCAAAACACATCCAACCTAAAGGCAGATGGGCTACAGCAGCAGAAGACCACACCGGGTGCCACTCCTGTCAGCTAAGAACAGGAAACTGATTCTACAATTCACACAGGCTCACTAAAATTGGACAATTTCTTGATTTCTGTTGCGACATTTGGATGGTGGGGTCAGAATTTGGCGTCAACAACATGAAAGCATGGATCCATCCTGTCTTGTATCAATGGTGCAGACTGGTGGTGATGCTGTAGAGCACCTTTGGGATGCGGTGGAACAGGAGATTCGCATCATGGATGTTCAGCCGACAAACCTGTAGCAACTGTGTGATGCTCTCATGTCAATATAAACAAAAGTCTCTGAGGAATATTTCCAGTACCTTGTTAAATCTATGCCACAAAAAATTAAGGCAGTTCTTAAGGGCAAAAGGGGGTCCAACCCGGTACTAGTAAGGTGTACCTAATAAAGTGGCCGGTGAGTGTATTTTAGGGCCGCACGAAAAATCTGACATTGTGATATTTTGGATTTGTGCGATTTATATAATGCAATATAATAAAATTTCACCAGATGACTTAAATAGCTGTATTTGGAAACAATTAACTAATTTTTGATTGATTTGGGTAATTCTGTAGGGAAACGAATCATAAGTATCTAATAAATTGATAACAAGCATAGCTACAGTACATGCAATAGAGCAAATATGAGAGTAAAATAAACAGTGCTTTAAGGTTGTCAGGGTAGTCAAATCATATTCAGGTTTGGGCTGCACAATGCGCAACATCGATATATGCTGCATAAGGTAAAGTAGCATATATATATATATTTATATATATATATATATATATATATATATATATATATATATATATATATATATATATATATATATATATATATATATTAGGGTTGGGCATCTAAGCTATAATGCCGATCCGATACGCATCTCGATACAAAGAATACGATCCGATATATTAGCGATACATTTGTGACATATTGCGATGCGACACGATACGATTCACACCCATATCACGATACGATGCGATAATTCAGCACTAACTAATTAGATCAAGTTTATGAGATTATGTGAAAGAGGATGCTGTGCCATTGAATGAGTTTGATTGATTATTTATTAACCAAGCAAAACCAAGACTTTTTTTACAAACTGGCTTTTCTCTCAGAGCCAGAGTGTCAGTTTACAGTAGAGGGCCATTTTAGAACCTATAGCACATATTATTTAAGTATTTTCAAGATAAACAGAATGTATAAGTGCAATATATATTAAAATATATATATTTGCACTCTTTCAACATAAAGGTTTAGCATTGCACAACAAGAATTGTGATTTAACTTTTCAACTATGAAAACAAGTTTTACAAAGATATATTTTGCCACTGAATATTCAAAACTTAAGGTGGTGAACTAGCAGTGTTATGCTGCTTTGAAACATCACTGTCACTGTAAACAACAGGCTAATAAAAATATAACAAACCAGCAATCTTCTTGCTGTGAGGTGGTCAAACTACCCACTGTGCCACCATGACGCCCATTATTTTTATCATTATTATTATTAATATTATTATTATTATTATTATAATTAAATAAAAATTAACAGAAGGAGGTGTTCAAAACCTTCGTTCTCCGTGACACTAGGCTGAATATCTTTGCAGATGAACAGGGCCGGCACGTCCATAGAGGCGACCTAGGGGGCCGCCTAGGGCGGCAGTATAGAGAGGGCGGCGTCCGCAACACCCCCCCTTACCACCCGCATCCTCAGTTATGTCCGCGACACCTCCATCAGCGCCCGCTTGTCCTCAGTTATATCCGCGCATAGGGTGGCAGAATAGAGGTCCGCGACACCCACGTCCTCAGTTATATCCGCGCATAGGGCGGAAGAATAGAGGTCCGCGACACACGCGCGTCCTCAGTTATATCCGCGCATAGGGCGGCAGAACAGAGGTCCGCGACTCCGGCGCGTCCTCAGTTATATCCGCGCATAGGGCGGCAGAATAGAGGTCCACTGGAAGATGGAGCTTTCACAACAACACAGTGGCGCCGCTTCAAGTGAGATTTCAGATTATTCGTACTGCCCGTGTATTTTACAGATGCGCGGCACACTTTTGCAAATTGCATCTGTCCTGTCATGTCGTCCATCCTTAAATCCATAATGTTGCCATACTTTAGATTTAAAACTCAGTGGGGAATAAAATGTTTGTTTTGCTTCTCGCGCTTTCTGAGGGCGCACCACTAGCTTCATCCGCACACCTGATACAGTTGTAGTGTAAGTGTACACATCCGCAAATCCGTTGCTAAGGCTTACTTTAAGTAGGTCGATTAAATTATGCGCCAAAAACAGGTTGACAACACTTGTTAATAAATAAAAAATACATTCTATATTAAAAATATAAGCTGTATCTTGGAAAAACCGATGCATCTCGCAAAAACCGATGCATCTCGATTTGCTTCCAAAATTTCATTCATCCTCTGCTGCTCTACCGATGCACTCGCATCGTGCACGCGCATGACCGCGTATCGATACATATCGGTTAATCTTCCCATCCCTAATATATATATATATATATATATATATATATATATATATATATCAACAGCTATAATTAAAATTAAAAGGTATGTAGCATGTTGGTTAATAGATTCCCATAATTTCCCATTAAGCTGCACATTAAACATTTTATTTTTTCACAAATAAATATGTATTATAAATAAGTATGCCGTAATCATGTAAAACCAAAAAAACACACACAACAAAAAAATTCAACAGAAATGATACAGAAATCTTGCACTGATCAAAGAAAGTTAACAACTAGTACTCTACCGTTCAAGAGTTTAAAATCAGTGTGAACAGAAAATTGACTTCTATTTTAGGATGTCGCTGTATTTTTAACTGAAATTGAACATTAAGTAGAGGGTTGGGCTGTCTAATTGCGTTATAGCAAACTAATGGTAACTGAGTTTAAGAATATTGAGGCTGAACCTACATCAACAGAAGTATCGACACTAAACTCAGAAGCACTTGGTCTGACTTTGATTGAAGATAACCAAAATAAGCAAAAACAATTCAGTGGATTAACTTGCACTGATTAATTGTTCATCTTAAGAACAGCAATGTGTGCTAGTAAATAAACATTGTACATTTTGATCTCACACAGACTTTAAATGTTAGTCATGTTTTTGAAAGAAGACTGTTATGCTACTGAGGATGCGTTTATTTGCTCAATAAATATTGATGAATTAAAACAGCTGTTTTCTCTTTTAACAAATTCTGTAATATAATTTCTTCATGTGATGATGAAACTGAATTTCGGCATCATTACTTCAGGCTTCAGGGTCAAGTGATCCTACAGAAATACTGTAAAACACTGAATTGGTGCTCAGAATCAATCGATTATCATAACTGTTGAAAACAGTTGTGCTACTTTAACATTTTTATGGAAACACTGATACTTTTTGTTTTTGTTTTTTTTTTTAATCAAGGAATCCTTGATTAGAGATTTCAAAAGAACATTTTCATAAAAAAAAAAATCTACCAATCTTGACTGTGTGTAGAGTTTAATCAGTGCTCAATATAAATGTTTAACACACAAAAAAGACAAACATATGACTGGTGATTTAAAAAAAAAAAAAAAAAACATTTACTGAAAGGTTGTAAGTTTGTGGATCACAACGAATAGCCTTGTTAACTATGCACTTCCTAAAAAGAGTTTAACAGAGTAGAAACATCAGCTGTAATGTGCTTTGTTGCTGTAATTTTATTTATTTATTTAAATATAATTTTTTTTGCCTGGTTTTAAAGGGATAGTTCAGCCAAAAAATATAAAAGTTCACTCACTTACTTTGTTCCACATGTTTAAGGTTCTTTTAAGTTATGCTGCTACTTATTTAGAATGAGCTGAAACAATGAATCTTGAGTTTTTGTTATTGTTGTTTTCATTAAGGTCAGCTTAATGGTTTTATATTCAATCAACTTAAAATTGTAAAAACCATGAGGTTAACTTATTTTGTGTTTTGATGAAATGAAGAGATTGTGTGGAACCCAGCATTTGTTGAGGTGCAAAAGAAGATATTTTGAAGGATGTTGAAAACCTGAAGCCACTGACTTATATATTATTTTCAGTTTAAAAAAAATGTCAGTTGCTACAATTCGTCAAAATTTCACCTTTTTGAAAAACATTTGAGGTTTTGGATCGGTTTAATCATGAATAAATGTTGAGTGAATTATGCTTCTTTTGGTGAACTATAAAAGTAAACCTGTTAATTTGATGGCTGCAATATTCCTGGTGGCCTGTAGGTGGAGAGAGCGTGTCACTTTGAGATAACACTATGAGAGCTCGATACGCCACTCATTTAACGATACAACAAAGAAATTAAAAGTTCCACCAATAAAGAAAATATCTTTAATATCAAGCTACAATCACACAGAGATATCAAGATAGCAAAACCTTTGCTCGTATAGCAATGACAGGACATGCGCAGGACTGTCGGTATTACAGAACATCATCAGTCATGGTGAAAACACTATGAGGCACTATGGATTGACATTGTCAGCACAGATCTCTGAGTACCTTAAAAAGGACGCAGCTTTGATTTTAATGCTCCACACACACACACACATACACACACACACCGGGAGAGATGTTGTGACAGAAACATATTGGGTCTGTGTAAATGAGTAAATAAACTTGCACAGGTTCGGCTCAGCCATATCACCACAATGTCAAAACAAATCTTTTATTTCTGACCTGAATAAAAAATAAAACCAAAGGGTATCACAGAATGGAATGATCCTTTTGGGAGCGAATGTGAAGATGATCCGTTTGAGCTGTTAACGCCTTTTGTCGTAGATCTGTACTGTTCCCCATTCATACGACTCTAAGGAGAAAAGGTCAAGGTTACAAATTGATCATAATAAAATGTTTATATCTACAGTACTCAACATAACTGAATACACCCCATTTTGAAAAATAATATTTGTATCCATTTCTCAGTGAATATAGGCAATGCATTTTGGTGCATTAAAACAAATCAGATTTATGGATCAAATATATTTATTAAAATGATATTTTAGTCACCAAACATATTTAGAAATTTAGCAAATATTGCAAAAACAAAATTACAACAAACAAAAATTTCAACTAAATTTGTCAATTTTTTGCATCTTGATTTTTCCTCTTTTTTTACATTTGTATTTAATATTTTTCTATAGCATATGAATTTGGGTGTACTAGTTTTTGGACCGTTATCGTGAATCATTTAGTTAGATAAGCTCCAGATTTGGCTTTAGTAATGACTAATCTAATGTATATTCACAAATATAAGAGTGTATAGCTTCCTATAAAAAATTTGAATGTAAAATTTAGATCTGTGAGGGGTGTACTCTATATATGCTGTAGAGCACTGTATGTTTATTGATGTTTTTATTAAACTACCCAAACAATTATATTCTGAAACAAAATAAAAAGGTTTAGCAGTTCTTACCTGGCTCTTCTTGGCTTCTTTTACCCATCAGCCCCACAAAAGAATTGATTTTATGCCCTAGAAGACAATTAGGGTAAAAAAACAAATTTTATATATATATATATATATATATATATATATATATATATATATATATATATATATATATATATATATATATATATATATATATATATATACATACATATATATACATACATATATTGTATTCCAAATGTGTAGCGTTATTTTTTTCAAAATGTATCAAAAATTAGTTATTTTTTTTATAGATTACATCATTATAGATTATTTATGCTGTAGTTATGATTGGTTTATCTTATATTGACCAATAGAAAATTTTAAAATTCCAGAAATGTACGCTTACAGTTTGTGATGACGTTTAGTTTTGAGGATCAGCAATATATTGGTACTAACATGAAGGTAAACTAAATAATAATACAAAATTGGAAGTTTCCATGTTTTAATTTAACACTTTTTATGATGTAATTAATTAATAACACTTAATTAACTCATAAATCATATACAGTTTCTTAATTTATTTGAGTTTGGGAAATGTTTTGTAACATTAAACACAAAGACTGGAATATATTTCATAGTTTCTTATAACAATAATCCCATTCAGAACAATTTAGGCCACACTTATTCTTCAAGTAATCCAGTAATGTCAAGTAATTATTGTCAAAACACATGACCAAAAATCTACTCTGCATTACTGACTATAATTTCCATCATGTAAATTGTAATCAGGGACAGACTGCAATTTGTAAGTAATCTGCTCCGCTCAGTTCTGTGATATTGTTTAAGTCTAGAGTGCAGTTCAAGGATTTAATGTCTTTACATTTGTTTCTTCTTCTGCGAAATTGACCTTGAGGATGTGAGCTTCCATTAAGAGGAATCATGTATCTCTAACTCTTCCATTTTATCATTGAGCTTGTTTAAACGATCAAGGCTGAAAGTCTCCTTTCTTCTATCATGAATATGTCTTTGCATGATTGTATATGTAAATCTCTCTTGAAGTGTCTTTGCTTTTAGGCAAATGTGAGCATTTAACAAATAATAAATGCAGTGAAGTGTTTTTGCATAGATCACTTACTTTTCCGTGTGATCTGTGCATTTGCTGTGGGGGTGGAAGAATGAAAGAGATGTCAGTTATAGGTCAAAGCGCTGTTAAAATGTGACGCATTTTATTTAATATCTGAATATTTTACAGTTTGCATGTGTGGTCTTACCAGAGGACCGTTTCCCCATCAGACCGATGAACTGATGAGGTCGGGGTTTCCTCGTCATGCGTCTCAGTATCTCCCTGAAAGGATCCGACTGAATCCACTCATCCTGCGAAAGATGATTTGATTAGTGGAACGTTAGACCTCCAGCATGAAATAGCAGCAGTTTCTGACACAAATTGTACCCTTCAGTTCATCCCAATAGAGAGTTGACCAAATGATAGTATTTTTTATTACAGATTTTAAACACAGAAATCATTTACAGCGCAGGCTATTTGCAAAGATGCAGTTTATGGAGACAAAAAGCCTAAGATATAAGTGCTTGGCTGTCTTCCAACCCGCAATGTCAAATGAGAAACGTGTGTTCCATTCAAACAAGCCATAAGAGCATTGACTGATTCAGCACTGGACAGCGACCTGCATGCTTTGTGTTTGAATCCAGACTAACTGAAAACCCAATGAAAACTGATACAAACATCTCATACTTATTTTTCATTTAAAATTAACATTATGAATATAACATGTATTACATTACATTTTAATTAGGTATGTTACATTCATGGGGTATGTTAGAATTTATAATGTTTACAGATACTCTTTAGTTCTGAATTTGTGGCTATAAATCAATAATAACAAATAATTGTAGTTGTAAATGTAAAATGTCACAGTAAACAAAATATTTCACAGTAATTCAATAATAAATGGTAAACCATTTATTTAAAACAAAATATAAATTAAATTTGCTACATGTGAAATGTCACTAACTTTGTTGCAATTGTTATTATGACAATAACATTATTTAATCAACATAATAAAATAAAATACGATTTTTATATCGTTTTAATAGTTATTAATAAATATATAGACATGAATAGAACATTTTTGTATATTTTTTTATTAGCCTACTAATCTTTAAATCCACCCCTAAGCATGTTAAATAAATCCAGTAGGTTTTTTTTGATCTGCAAGACTTTTTTATACAACATTAGAGATTTCAAAACTCACCTGTATCTGATTGTTGCCTGTCCAGTAATCAAGGTCTTCTTTTGGACCCAATTCCTCTCCAAAAACTTGACACAAAACAACAAAAATGACTACAGTCGGTAAAATAAATTTCATGTTGCTCCCAGTAACTTTCCCTTTTTCCTTTAAAGCACTTTAAAGTATAAAACGCAAGCTAAACGTCGTTTTGTTCGAGTATGTTGAACGGTGTTCTTCTGTCAGCTGTACGTGAACAGTTTCCTCCACATATAACACAGTTCTTCAATGCGCGCGTACGATGCGCGTCTCCGTGACCGTTCTGGCTCGCGCGCTCGACTTTATAGCAAAGCAACAGGGAGGTGACAGGTTCCTTGCGACGCTTCAAATCAATAAAACAAATAAATGTTTTAGTCAGATTGCTTTAAAAAGGCACAATGACTAATAGCTTTCCTCTTTAATATTTCGTTCGCGTCGGGTAGAGGAAGTAACTAAAGTTTAGATGGTCCCTGTTTGGGAAGTCCGTGCCTTTATGTCGTGAGCTGATCAGTATGTAAACTGCACACAGGTGACGTTATGACTGGCGAACGACGAAGGTTTTACGAAGTTCCGTCTACAGCTGAGTAAATATGAATGCAGATGACCTGTTTAAGACTTCTTTTACGTCAGAGGAGGTGAGCAACTCACAAAGGGTTTAGGAATGGGATTGTAGAGGGCTTAAACAAGGATGATGTTTTGGGTTCTTATTTTGGTAAAAAGTCAGTCGTAACAATAATAACGCACATAAAATATGTTTTAGCACTTTCAAAAATTGTTTATACCGTAAATCAAAACATTTTGTTACAGTAACCTCTTTAAGCAATTCTTTGAAATTATTTTACCCATGTCAAATAACAACAAAAATTAATTAACAATTCATTTCATTTCAATTAATTCAATCTGGGGTCACCACAGCGCAACGAACCGCTAACTTATTCAGCATATGTTTTACTCAGCGGATGCCCTTCCAGCTGTAATCCATCTATGGGAAACGCACTCTCAATTACACACATACACTACGGACTATTTTAATTTTAATAAATATAATTTAGCATACCTAATTCACTATACCACGTGTCTTTGGACTGTGGGGGAAACCGGAGCACCCTGAGAGAACCCACTCGAATACGGGGAGAACATGCCAACTCCACACAGAGATGCCAACTGACCCAGGACCCCTCTTGCTGTGAGGCGATCGTGGTACCCAATGCGCCACCGTGACGCCAAATACAAAAATAGAACTAGTGTTTACCTAATTTGAAAGGTTGATTAAATCAATTTAACTGAATATGTTTGACTTCCTAACTCTATTCAAGAACAGTCCATGTTTAATCTGCATACTTAACAAAACAACAAAAAACTAGTATTTGTGTTATTGTAAAATGTTGTCAAATTAAATGAATAACTTTGACTTGCATTAACCTTTCCCATTCAGATTAAAAAGGTGAAGTTTTTATACTTCAATAGTTTGTTAATAGGCATGCATATTCATAAACAAACTTCTCTTTAAAAAGCTTGTGAGATTAACTATTCAATCAATTAATCAATCGGCCGACTAATCAACCAGCCAAATCAATCAACCAACCAACCAAGTCAACCAATCAATCAACCAACCGACCTACTCAACTAACCAAACACCCAGGCTGCTTCTCAATATGCGTCCTTCAGCATTCTTGCATCCTCGTGTTCTGTCCTGGATGTGTTCTTGATATCGAGGACGCATCGATGCAGACTTGAGCGCAAAACTCGCTCAATAAAACTCGCAAGTCATAAAAAAAAGGAGTTGGGAAGCGCAGCATTTTATATAGGTTTATTATTAAAGTTCTATATAACTTATGTATCTCAGGTGTTTAAATGAAACGATGAAAATAAACATCACCTTGAAAATATTAATGAAGGCGAAAATGCATTAAGGGGGTTCATTCATTCATTTTCTTGTCGGCTTAGTCTCTTTATTAATCTGGGGTCGCCCCAGCGGAATGAACCACCAACTTATCCAGCAAGTTTTTACGCAGCAGATGCCCTTCCAGCCGCAACCCATCTCTGGGAAACACCCACACACACATTCACACACACACTCATACACTACGGACAATTTAGCCTACCCAATTCACCTGTACCGCATGTCTTTGGACTGTGGGGGAAACCGGAGTACGCGGAGGAAACCCACGCAAACGCAGGAAGAACATGCAAACTAAACACAGAAATGCCAACTGAGCGGAGGATAGATCCAGTGACCTTCTTGCTGTGAGGCGAACGTGCCACCCACTGCGCCACTGCGTCGCCGCATTAAGGGGGGTATTTGCTGAAATCCCTATTAAAATGAGTTTTATTGTATTGTGCAAAGTATATTTGTAAGGTTTTTGTGCATAGTATATATTGTAAGAAGGGGAAAACAATAGTATGAATGCTGTAATGTTTAAACAATTTTCCATTAAAAATCCGCGAAGGTCATATGACCAAGTGGAAGAACCAGGGAGGAAAGAACGCAGCATCTCATTTCTCAGAGGAGGCGTTTTATGAATAAAATATACGTTTTTTGACACGGATACAGCCTAATAGGCAATTTAGCAAGAAGTATATTGACACCTAAAGATGCTCTGTAATGGTTATATCTGTTGTAAAAAAAAAAAAAAAAAAACTTCTGCTTTATATATACAATCTCTTTTTTTTTTTCTTTTTTTCATTGAAAATTTACATGAATGCATGATACTAAAAAAATATGTTCATTTATGTTAAAAAAAAAGTCAATAAAATAAATACATAATCTTGGCATTGCTAACTTACTGATATATTTGTCCCATTGGTTCATTGATGCTAAATGTTTTTGACTTGACTAAATTGAAATCTTATCCTTTTGAGATTACCATTTGTATATTTGTACATTATATGTACAGCTCTCTTCTTAAAAGCTCACTTTCTTTTTAATAACTACTTTTTATGCCTGTTCAGGGTTCATAATTTGACTCTTTGAAGATTAAATGTTCCTAAAGTTACATTATAAGTTCTTCAATTAAGCGTTAACCCAAATTGGAACCTAAAATATAGCTTTAAAATGTCCACTTGTGCCATCAGCCTCTAAAACTCCTTTTGGATTCAGTCGTTCATTCATTCATTTTCTTTTCGGCTTAGTCCCTTTATTAATCCGGGGTCGCCACGGCGGACTGAATCGCCAACTTATCCAGCCCATTTTTACGCAGCGGATGCCCTTCCAGCCACAACCCATCTCTGGGAAACCTTTTGGATTCAGTCATTTTTTAAAAGTATGCTTGTTTCACACATCCCACAAATGGCTTGTGTGCCATTTTTAAACCACTGAGTCTGTAATGGAGGCCATGTAGTCAGATGAGCAGGGTTAAATTCATGTTTCTGCTGAAAAGCAGAGAGAGGACACTCTGAGGTGGATGACCCACGGAGGAAGTGGAGACACGCTGATTTCCATGAGAAAGAACTCTTGTCTCAGCGCACAGAGAGACTATACAGCACAAACAGCCCTTCATACCTCAAGTGCCTTTATCAGCGACAATGATGTCTCTTTATTTAATCATGTGTTAATATCGTATGCAAATGTTATCGCTTGCGAAGATTGCCAAACCCAACTGAAACGACCCCAGCAGCAGGATGAGAGTCATGTACATTATTAATCGATGTGGTTTTCACACAACCTCTTTTTGTTTTCATTTATTCTGCAATGCTGAAATTTTTATCCTGAAACTTTTGTATGACTGTTCAGAAATCATTTGTAGCCAAATGTTTGTCATTGTTGACTGTTTACAGATATCAAATTTTACACAACAAACCCAGCCTTTAGCCTACATTGTAAAGTCGGTTCAGTTAACTAATGAAAGTGCCATAAATGAGATTTATTAATCAATATGTCTTAATGAATTCGATTACATTAGGTAATCCTCTGCATGCATGCCAATGCACCACTGACCCACTGAGATGCAGAGTCTTAAAAATCCCTGGTGCCATATGGTATCTGACTCAAATGTATAATGTTTACACCTTCTATTAAAGGAATAGTTCACCCAACAATATTACAAATATCAAAATTACTCAATATTTACTTACCCTTAAGTGGTTCCATACGTTTATAAGGTTCTTTTTTTGCTTTGGTCAGATATTTTGAAGTAAGCTGGAAACCAGTATCCATTGACATGCGTAGTAGGAAAAATCAATACTAGGGATGCACTGAATTTTCAGCTGCCAAAATTGTTGGTTGAAAATTGATTTTTGTATTTTTGCACGGTGGCTCAGTGGTTAGCACTGTCGCCACACAGTAAGAAGGTCACTGGTTCAAGTACTGACTGGGCCAGTTTCCATTTCTGTGTGGAGTTTGCATGTTCTCCCCGTGTTCAAGTGGGTTTCCAATATGTGCTCAGGTTTCTCTCATAGTCCAAAGACACGCTCTATAGTTGAATCAAATAAACTAAATTGGCTGTAGTGTATGAGTGTGTGTGAATGAAAGAGTGTATGGGTGGACATCCGCTGGGTAAAACATTTGCTGGAATAGTTGGCAATTCATTCCGCTGTGGTGACCCCTGATTAAAAAAAGGGATTAAGCCGAAGGAAAATGAATGAAGGAATTTTTGTCTGAAAAGAAATTTGCTCACACTTATGCTGTTTATTTTCCCTCCTGCTGTAGTCACTCAAGGTATGAAGTGGCTTTTAGATCGGATGTGGAAAGCACTGCTCTATGAAACCTATTTGTTTTGATACTTTATGTTAAGGCAGGATAATTGCTGTCAATCTAAGTGGAGCGAACGCGCCTCAGTCAAAGGTTAAAAATAGCACAAAATTCGGCACTGGATATTCCATCCAAAAAGCAAAGTCTGTTCAACTAATGTGTTGACATGCCATTTTTTATGTAGTACGTGTTTCTGATATTAGTGGTCAAAAAATACATGTATTTAAAGGTGTAAACAGTAATGTTTCTCCGTCTACTTATTCACCTCAATACCAGGTGTAAAAAGGGCCTAAGAAATTAGCAGATCTATACAGAAGTATTGTATGCAAAGTGGAATCAAAGTCTGACAAACTTGTTGATCCATCTCATTCCGCAGATAAAAATGCAGACCAAGGCAACTTCATAAACTCTCCATCATGTTCATCAAATCGTTTCACATGTGTGCAGTGTCATGTGCATTATCCTGCTGAAAGCTGTGGTGACTTTCACCAGGAGCACGGCTACCATTGAGGGCTGTACACTGGTCTGCAATCAGGGGTGGATTTAACCAGTAAGCAAGGTAAGAGCCCGCTTCAGGCACCAGGACATCT